TACAAAAAAAAACCTACAGCAGCGTAGCATGACGCATGTGTAGAAGCGCAAGAGTACCCACAGCGTAGCATGACACATGTGTGGAAGTGCAAGAGTACCTACAGCGTAGCATGAGGTATGTGTGGAAGTGCAAGAGTACCTACAGCGTAGCATGAGGTATGTGTGGAAGTGCAAAAGAATCTACAGCAGCGTAGTAGCATTACACATGTGTGGAAGTGCAAGAGAATCTACAGCAGCGTAGCATGACACATGTATGGTGCAAGACTACCTACAGCGTAGCATGACGTGTGGAAGTGGAAAAGAACCTACAGCGTAGCATGACGCATGTGTAGATGTGCAAGAGAACCTACAGCGTAGCATGACGTATGTGTGGAAGCGCAAGAGAGCCTACAGCAGCGTAACATGACACCTGTGTGGAAGTGCAAGAGTACCTATAGCGTAGCATGAGGTATGTGTGGAAGTGCAAGAGAATCTACAGCAGCGTAGTAGCATGACACATGTGCAGAAGTGCAAGAGGACCTACAGCGTAACATGACACATGTGTGGAAGTGCCAGAGCACCTACAGCGTAGCATGAGGTATGTGTGGAAGTGCAAGAGAATCTACAGCAGCGTAGCATGACACATGTATGGAAGTGCAAGAGTACCTACAGCGTAGCATGACGTATGTGTGGAAGTGCAAGAGAATCTACAGCGTAGCATGACGTATGTGTGGACGTGGAAAAGAACCTACAGCGTAGCATGGCGCATGTGTAGAAGTGCAAAAGTACCTACAGCGTAGCATGACGCATGTGTGGAAGCGCAAAAGAACCTACAGCGTAGCATGACGCGTGCGTGTGGAAGTGCCAAAGAGTTTACAGAAGCGTAGCAGACGTAAGTGTGGATGTGAATGAAATGCAAGAGAGCGTACAGATATGTTGCATCACATATGTGTGGAAGTGTATGTGACGTTATTATACCACCCCACCCCCTGCACCCCACCCCACCCCCCACACACAATGTTATTTTCATAGTAGAAGGCAAAATATGACAACAGTCGCGAGCCTCTCAGATGCCAGGCACCTTAAACAAGTGGCAAGAAACGATCAGAATGTCATATCACAGAAAACTTGTAAATATCATCAATAGAAATTAAAAGGGCAGATAGTCACGGTAGTTGACACCTGCTTTTGACTGTTGGATGCTCAAACTGCTTGGGCCCTGAAAACCTAAAAAGAATTTTGGCACTGTGTGCCCTGCAGAGCCAATGAAACATCTGAATAATTATTATCTCTCATCGACATCACCATCATCACCACCACCATCATCATCATCATCACTACCAGTAGCATTACCGTGGAAATTCAGCTGAAAGTGAAGATCTCGGAGGTGCATTCACTTGCGTTCTTTTTTTGGGGGGGTAAAATAGCTATTGGCAGCAAAAATGAACGTTAATTCCTTGCAAACATGATTTAGAACAGTGACACCTGGTTATACGTGTTCCATGTCAAAATCCACCACAACCATAAGGTTGAGCGCATGAGAGAAGTAACATCAAGAGCGTGTTGCGTGGTTGCTTGAGAACATCGAGGGCGTAGCATCAAGAGCGTGTGCCATGCTGCTTGAGATAGTTAAGCGCGTAGCACCAAGAGCCTGCAAGTTGCTTGAGAAATTTGGGATTGAGGGCCCGAAAGGGTTAGCACCAAGAGCGTGTTGTAAGTTGCAGGAGAAAGTTGAAAGTGTGGGATCAAGAGTGTGTTGCCAGTCGCCTGAGAAGTTCAAAGAGTAGCAGGAAGAGTGCGTTGCAAGTTGCTTGAAAAGGTTCAGCGCATAGCATCAAGAGCATGTTGCAAAGCTGCCTGGGAAAGAAAAGAGCATAGCACCAGGCACCATGCAGGAGCGTGTCGCAAGTTGTTCGAAAAAGTTAAGAAGCTCAAAACAATTACAGTAATTCCATCAAAAACACAGGAAACAGGTGGCCGGCTGGCGGGTGGCCGGATGGCCGGGTGTGGCCGTGTGGCCGTGTGGCCGTGTGGCCGTGTGGCCATGTGGCCATGTGGCCGTGTGGCCGTGGTCGTGTGGCCGTGGTCGGGTGGCCGTGGCCGTGGCCGTGGCCGTGGCCGCGTGGCCGCGTGGCCGCGTGGCCGGGTGGCCGGGTGGCCGTGGTCGTGGTCGTGGCCGTGGCCGGGTGGCCGGGTGGCCGGGTGGCCGGGTGGCCGGGTGGCTGTGGCCGTGGCCGTGGCCGGGCCGTGGCCGTGGCCGGGATGGCCGGCAACTAAAAAAAGCTATTGTGAGATAGACAGATAGATAGATGGATAGACAGACAGACAGACAGATAGATAGATAGATATAAAGATAAATAGATAGATAGATAGATGGATGGATGGATGGATGGATCGATAGATAAATGGATAGATGGATAGATGGATAGATGGATCGATGGATAGATAGATAGATAGATAGACAGACAGACAGATAGATACATACATAGATAGATAGATAGACAGATAGATAGATAGATAGATGGATAGGTAGATAGATAGATGGATAGATAGATAGATAGATAGACAGATAGATAGATAGACAGACAGAAAGATAGATAGATATAAAGACAGATAGATAGATAGATAGATAGATAGATAGATAGATAGATAGATAGATAGACAGAAAGATAGATAGATAGATAGATAGTAAGTATAGTGTTAAATATGTCCACATTACATGTACATCATTCTAAATCCCCCTGTTTGAGGCAACAAGGGCCATTTATGGGGATGCAATTTAGTAACTGTCAAGGCCATCCGGGTCTTCCTATCATGTCATTGGGATTCACCCAGTAAGTTGGTTACAACTACTAGGCGCACGATTGGATTTATGGTGCATATATATACAGCAGTTGGATGTCTTTCTAAACCAAGTTATGACTGGGGCCCTGTTTGGTGGGCACCTAGCGAAAAAATATGCTAAGTTTTTGCTTGGTTAGAGTCTGAGTTTAGAGCCAGCGTCGAAACCCAGGAATAAGTTACAATATTTGGACCGTCTATTTCTCAGGTTATGGCAGACAAAACAACTACTAACTTACCAAACCAAAGGTTTATATCAACACTGGAGGATCTCTACCAACCATGAAATCAAAGTTGAACACATCCAACAAAGACTGGAGTTGTTCTTTTGAGATAAGCGTGGCCATCGTTGAGCCGCAAAGTAAAAAAAGGTGGATTCGCGAGGTCCTAAGGGAGGGCCCACATTCTTAGAGCTGAAGCTGAAGAAAATTGACTCTCATACTCTCCTAAACCAATCGTGTCTAGAAGCAAAAACATACTTCATTGAACCCCTCCCAGGAAGTAGTGATTTAAGTGATTTAAGCAATCAAAAAGCCAACCAACTGATCAAACATGTCGCGTTGGACGTGCAGTCGGAAGCATCGGCTCCATGAGTTTATTTGGGATCATCTCAGTCGAGGGACATAGTCATCAAAGGCTGCTTTGTACCTTGAGCCAGCCAAATTGGTTGGGCACCCATGATTCCATGGTTGAACGAAAACAACATGGAGCCCATGGAAATGGTCAATTTGGAGAATGATTTTGTTTTGGAGACACCCCAATGTGACCATCCGTGAAACTTCTTAATGCACTAAAGGTCTCAAACGTAATGAATCCAACAATTGACTTGAGCCAATTCTCGCGCCCCAAGAGTCCCAAGACAAAGGCGGAGTTCTTAAACTGTGGTGTCTTTCCCATGGTTTTGGTGAGTGGCAATGACTTAAACATGCACACAAACACACGCACACAATAGACAAATGCGTGTAATGTATATAAATATACATGTATGTATATACAGGGTATATATATATATACATATGTATACATGTATTAAAAACAAATAAATAAATAAATAAAATAAATAAATATATATGTATATGCGATATAAATATACGATATACAGATCTAATTTACATCATCACCTCTGGCACATTTTGGGGCACTAGCAACCACAGCCCGTGCTGACCGAAGTGCTCTGAAACTTGCTCTTCTGTGAAGTATTCCGCCATGACTGAGGGGAATAAACACGCTGGGTGGGCTCCTTTTTGGGACCTCACAGAAAAGACATGGCCTGGATTTGAGCCACGCTGCAGAAAGGTTGGGTTTCTGGTTGGATTTTGAAGATTTGGCAGCTTCAATGACCATGGATTGATTTATGAGGAAAATGAAAGGAAACCATGGGCCCGCTAAGTCAGGGTTCCTGCCACTACAATTCACCGATTTCACCATGTTTCACCATATTTGTGGGGCGCTTGATGCGCTAGTGGGCCCAGAACTCCATGAGGCCATGCACAGTAATCTACATCATGCTTCCCCCTATCATTGCCAACCTTTGATCACCTGCATCATTTTTCTTGGTTGGTTACGGTGTTGATTTATATGTCCCCATGTGCGAAAAACACTTCACGTCTCAAACTAGATAATTACACCTGATTACCTATCCAAGTCTTACCGAGTGGGATTTGTCAGAAAATATGCTCCAACATCCAAAAATTGAGCATGACCACATCTTAAAATGGCAATATGTTTGGGCGTAAATTCCGTCATTTCACACAGACTCAGAGAGTCTGTCAAAAAAACCCTCGCCATGCGTGTGGCTCATATTCCACCAGCAGTCGCCCTATCGGAAGTCTCCTCGCTGTTCGGGCCGAACCAGCCGACCTGGCTGGAAACTTCAATTTTTGCAGTGGATTTTCCAGCAATCTATTTTATCAATGTTTGATCTCAAGACCCAATAATAAAATTCACATTAGGGAGGAAACGTCACTGCCTTCTGACCATTCCCAGCCCGGCACCCTGGTCGGCTGGTGCTACGTGTGCTGCGACCAGCACTGAGATTGCCCGTGGAACCTCAGAAGATCGAGAAAGGTCACAGAAAATATCAGGGTTGTTTTTTCTTGGGGTGGAGGGATTAGAATGGATTGAATATCATTAAATTGTCTATGAGTCCAGCTAGTGTAGGAGTACCTGGGCGGACCTATGTCACTGTGCCAAATCTTTGATGATTAAACTTCACTATACATCCTAATTTTAGATAGATGGCCATATGCAAGTGCTGAAACCTGTCTGCCAGACCCCATACACGCAGCAAAATGGGATTCAAACTGGGCTCATCTGGGTTCCAATGTTTTTCAGGGTGGTTACATCTACTCAAAATTATGATTTACCACATAAACATATGAACATACATATAGACATGCACATGTTATTGGCTATGTAAACATGTATATTACACACACGCACACGCACGCGCACATATATATATATACACATAAATGCACTGTACATCTGCGTGTGTATATAATATATTATATAACTTATATATATATTATATTGATATTATACAGTACCTTTGTAGATTCCCCAATTTTGGCAAACAATAAGCAAGTAAACTAGGTAAACAACGCTGCAGTCCCCATGGCCGTCTCGGCACAGCTCTGTAGAGATGGCAAGCGCTTGCTCTTGCTGAAGGACATGACATCACAGCGATGCGCAGCTGACGGGGATGCGCAGCCGTTGATCGTTTTCAACGTTTGAAGGAACCATGGAACCATGGGATTCTTATGGATTCTTAGCATCTTAGATAACCCTGCCAAAATCATAACTGACAAAGATGGTCGATTTCTCCGTTTCGCAAATTCCACTACTCATTCCATGGCCAAATCTTAACCTTTTTGAAGTGTAAGAAAAATAGCAGCTCGGCTTTGAAGATCTCTTGTCAGGGCATCTAGGACTCGCTGCATGTTATGATCAATTGCCATCCAGCTTGCCCAGCAATGGTCTTGAGCCAAGGCCCAGGGACAGAAACTGCTGGTGGCCGTGCTTCCGGGTTTCGGGGCTCACATGATGTGTGAAACCAATGGAAAGGCCCCGGGTTGGTAATATATAAGTTGCTGGATTCAACCAGAAATCAATGGGCTGAAAAAAACATGGTTTAAGCAGAACGACACTTTTCTCAAAGGTTTGGGAACCTCAAAATACACCATTTCAGTATCCTTTCCGAGCGGAAACCGGTTCTGGCACGTGTTTTGACCCCAACGCGTGCGCACAAACGGCCCGTTTCGGGCGTCTGCGGAGAAAGCCAGTTTCTACCAGCAGTTCGTGTCAAGAGCTTGGGGTCAGCAAGTTTTGTGAGGTCTTTGTGTGGTGGGTGTTTATCAAGTCTTTAATCCCCCATGAAGATCATCATCCTAGGTGGGATGAAACAAACACCAGCAGCCAGTTGTATTGTGAGTTGTCCTGGCTTCAACTGCCGCATTTTTCAGCAGGCAGTGATGCTTCTTCCCTGGCTATCCTCACCTGTTCTCCTTGGTGGCGGGCACGAAACCTTGAGACTTGGGATTCAAAAGAGCCCTGATGTTCTTTTTCCCATGTCTAGGCCCTTGAAACCAAGCTACAAACCAGCATAAACCAGACTGGCAGTTAAATGGAACAGAATGGATCGTATTAGTCGACTGATTTCCAAGACCTGGATGGCATAAGCCTGAAACATGGTTCCAGGTCTCATGAGAGTATTGGTCGGATAGCCTATTGTCTTGATATTGCATCTTTGCGATGAACAGTCATCGAACATTATTGGTCAAAGTGGGGTACCCCAATACTTAGATGATCAATGATGGTCAATATTAAACAATAATTATTGAAACATATTAAAACTACGTATACTAAAATATGTGATCCCCATAGGGTTAATTTTTTAACCTCCAGGGGAGGACTTGGCCTTGGCTCAGCTTGGCTCAACCGAGGTTCTGAAGACCGTTAGCTCCCTGCACGCCTGTCGCATCTTTCGGTTCCTTGCGCGGTTTTGAGGGTTGGGGACCAGGCTACAGGGGCCAAATTCAAAGGTTCCTCCCTTGTTAAGTTGAGAAACCACATGAACTGTTTCGATATATATATATATAATATATATACATATATAGGCTAGTGAACAAAACCAATTTATTGATTTTATTGTTTCTGTACCCAAATGATGGACAGTGAAAAGACAAGATCTCCAAAGATCGAGGATGGGGGACGTCCGAAAGTGTAAGTTACATTTTCCTTGCACAGCATTGAAAACCACGAAAACCTGCCAACGTTTCCATTACAAAATTATCATGAAACATGTAGTCTTGCATCTTCTACTGGAACCCGGGCTTTGATTCGGTTTTACCAGGGAAATCATGGACGTCCATGGACGTCCAAAAATCAAGCTACCCTTTTTGACCCCCACCTCTCCCCAAGGCCCCCTGCCCCAAACAAAAAAATCAGGATGGAGTTATGTGAAGTTAGAATATCAAAGGTCCTCTTTCAGAGTGTAATGGGAAGCGCCGAGGCCTTCATTTTTTTGGGGGTTTCAATTCTCGGGAACACCAAGTGATGCCTCAAATGTTCTGCTTGAATTCTGTTCGATCCCGTCTGTTTTTTTGGCCAGAAAAAAATGACGTTCCCACCTGAAGTCCAAAGGCCGGTTCCCCCAGATCTGTCTGTCCTTTTGCGAATGTCATTCTCCTTCTTCTGCATCATGCTGAGGCGTCGTCGATGACGGGGCTCACTTGACTTCTTGAAATTGGCAAACTGGGCCTCGGATCTGCATCTGGTGAATGGGAAGCCAAGGTGTTCTGTCTCAGCCAAGGGAAAGAGGGTGAGGCTGGGGCCAAAAACAGCGAAAAAAAAGAAACCAAACTGCCAAAATGGATCAAAATGGTAGTGCCATGATCGTCTTCTGTGCATTTACAATAAAACCATCAATACTTCTGGCGAGGTTGCTTGGGGCGAGGAATTTGTGTTTTCTGTCATGCTATTGGTATTGACACACTCGGATCCAATTCCATCCAAGATAACATTGAGTGAGTCATGTGAGGACCATCACATCCCAAAAGAATCAAAAACGTTTGGGACCCACCATCCAAGTTTAGGGGTTAATAAACAAGAGGTGTGAAACTGAGAGAAAACAGGTTTCTATGGTTCCCAAATGCTGCAACTTCCATCAGCAGCCAAGAGCGGCCCAGCTGCCCTGTACTTCTCTGTCTCTGGGGCCAGGTTGTTGATTTGTCCTTCTCTGCCGATAGTGCAACGATGAGGCTGAGTAGGTGACATATGGTAAACCCAGTGCGTTGGATTGAGGGAACAAGTTCTTTAACTCCCCTCAGGAGGAAAAAATACTTTACTTCGAGTTATCCCCACCATGACATCTATACGTTTTGTTACTGGCAAATCTTCTGGCATTCTATCTGACATATCTTCTGGCATTTTATCTGGCATATCTTCTGGCATTCTATCTGGCATATCTTCTGGCATTCTACCTGGCATATCTTCTGGCATATTTTCTGGCATATTTTCTGGCATATCTTCTGGCACTCTATCTGGCATATCTTCTGGCATATCTTCTGACATTCTATCTGGCAAATTTTCTGGCATATGTTCTGGCAAACATTCTGGCACTTTATCTGGCATACCTTCTGGCATTCTATCTGACATTCTATCTGGCATATCTTCTGGCATATCTTCTGGCATTCTGTCTGAAATATCTGCTGGCATTCTACCTGGCATATCTTCTGGCATATGTTCTGGCATATCTTCTGGCACTCTATCTGGCATATCTACTGGCATATCTTCTGGCATTCTATCTGGAAAATCTTCTGGCATATGTTCTGGCAAACGTTCTGGCACTTTATCTGGCATACCTTCTGGCATTCTATCTGACATTCCATCTGGGATACCTTCTGGCATTCTATCTGGCATATCTTCTGGCATTCTATCTGGCAAACATTCTGGCACTTTATCTGGCATATCTTCTGGCATTCTACCTGCGGCGCCCACTGAGCTCGGAGGGTCCCAGGTTGAGGTCCAGCGGTGCTCACTGAGCTCGGACGGTCCCAGGTTGAGGTCCAGCGGTGCTCATTGAGCTCGGAAGGTCCCAGGTTGAGGTCCAGCGGTGCCCAGTGCGCTCAGACCCTTGCAGAGGTGGTGGAGGAGGAGAAGGAGGACGAGGAGGAGGTGGAGGAGAAGGAGGAGGAGGAGAAGAAGGAGGAGAAGAACAACTCTGATAAAATCTAACCACCCTCACCTGGCAGGTGGGGAACAAGAAATTGCTTGCCAAATAAACGTTCCCCAACATTTTTCCGTTACACCCACAGCATGAGTTCGAATAACAGCCATCAGAAGGGTGTTATTACAGTGCCATCTTTTGCAGCGAATGATTGATTGGATCTCTAGGGTACTGTCTACACGGACTTTCGTTCACCAGAAAAATGCACTACTTGGAATTGTGCGAAACCTTTCACCCCTAGAAATGTCGGCTTGAGCATCCCAAACATCTTCTTGACATATTCTGCCAAGCGTCGCAACAAGTCGCAGTTCTCCCATTCCTGCAGAACTGCCTGACGTCAACCCATCTGAAAGATGGAGTGCAAGCTGCAAGGGTCATCGAAACCATATAATTCAAGAAAAGACTCCGCGAGAATCACCAGGTGAACCAATGAAACTGGGGATGCGCAGCAAAATCATGTTCACATGAACAGTGTTCAAAACCATCTGTCATGGTACAGTAACTACACTGGTTAGTGAATCTGAATATGACAATCCCCACTATATATATATGGTAGTGTAATCCCCTATCATCATGAATCAAGCATCATTTATCATACCAGTAGTACCGCACAAGGCGGTGGCGGAAGTTTCAAAAATAGGATACCTATAGGAGAGGTTGGTTGTTGTGAGTTACGGATGGCAGAGCCAAGCCATTCATGGACCGACAGGTGGTTGAGGTCTCCTCTCTCTCTCTCTCTTTCTCTGACTATCCACCTACCTACCTATCTACCTACCTATCTATGTATCTATGTATCTATCGATCTATCTATCTATCTATCTAGCTATCTATTTATCTATCTACCTACCTGTCTATCTTTGTATCTATGTATCTATCTATCTCTCTTTCTCTCTCTCTCTCTCATCTGTCTATCTAATTATCTATCTATCTATCCATCCATCTATTCTATCATTCTATCTATCATTCTATCTATCTATCTATCCATCCATCCATCCATCCATCTATTCTATCATTCTATCATTCTATCAATCTATCTATCTATCTATCTGTCTATCCATCCATCTCATCTGTCTAACTATGTGTCTATCTATCTACCGATCTACCTATCTACCTATCTATCTCTCTGTCTGTCTGTCTGTCTGTCTATCTACCTACCTGTCTATCTGCAAGCTTGAAAACGAAGCTAGTCTGCGAGACGTCCTCAGGTTTTGAACTAGCTATGACTCTATCTATCTACCTATCTATCTCATCTGTCTATCTAACTATGTATCTATCTATCTATCTATCTACCTATGTTACCTATCTCTCTATATATCTGTCTGTCTGCCTGTCTGTCTATCTACCTGTCTATCTGCAAGCTTGAAAACGAAGCTATTCTGCGAGACGTCCTCAGGTTTTGAACTTGACAACATCAAAAACGCAGCATTTCTGCGAGACTTCCTCAATGTTTGACCTTGACAACGTCAAAAACGAAGCAATTCTGCGAGACTTCGTCATTTTTCAAAGTTGACAACGAGACTTCGTCATTTTCCAAAGTTGACAACGTCATAAACGAGGCAAGTCTGCGAGACATCCTCAATTTTGGAACTTGACAACGTCAGAAACGAAGCAATTCTGCGACACTTCCTCATTTTTCGAAGTGACAACATCAAAAACGAAGCAATTCCGCGAGACTTCCTTCAAAAATGGAAAGTTGAGTCCAGAGCTGACGGCCTCGTGCCAATGCGTTTTGCGATTTTTCCAGTCTTGTGTCTAAACTACTGCGCCTGCCACGAAAAAGTGATGCCAGGTCATACGAAGTGCTGCACCTGTCACGCAAAATCATCTCAGCAAACCTGAAGATCTGATGCTCCAAAATGCAACCCCTCTCAGGAAATCAGCGCCCGGACCTCCTAACAGCTCTGATGAACATGTCTTGTAATGCGCCTGCCACGGAAAATGCATCTTTCCAGATCCTCTTCAAATGTCCCACGCCTGCATACGCCTGCCATCGTTTTTGGAAATGCTACAAAACCCTCACGTTTTGCTCACTTTTTGACAAGGTCCACAATCCCTTGCGCCTGCCACGCGAAACGACATCTGAACCTCCAAAGTGGTTGGTGCTTTGTACATTTTGACTTCGAAATGTGCTTCGCGCCACAACGGCGTGCGTTTTTTCGACATCTCAACTTCCAAAAGTGGTCCGAGCGTGAGGTGTTTGTAGCTTTTTCACTTACAAATGTACTTCGCGCCACAATGGCGTGCGCTTTTTAGACATCTAAACTTCCAAAAATGGTCCGAACGAGAGGTGTTTTTCGCTTTTTCACTTGCAAATGTGCTTCGCGCCACCACGGCGTGCAATTTTTCATCTCTCATCTGGCCAGATGGCTCCGCACCCGCCGCTTTAAAGAGCCTACTTTTGGACCCTCCGGAGCCACAAATCATTGGAAAAAACAGTGTTTCGCGACTTTCCTACCTTTTCGTGCATCTGCATCTTCTTTCTTCTGACTCTTTCTCTTCTCTGATCTTCTCTCTTCTACTCTCCTCTTCTCTCTGACTTGTCGGAAGTTTGACTTCTAAACTTCCTTCGATTATATCAAATATACCCTCATATTGTGATGTTTAAAACCTCCATATCCTCCATAAGACATGGCTATCATCAACCAACGGAGGGCCTCCCGCATAGGTTGGAGGAACGGCGGCAGCTGCTCTGGATGCTCGGGGGTGCCTCAGCGCAACATGTGTTTCGGGGCAGCGGGATGTAAATCTATATGAATACACAAGCGCACATACAACCCATATATATATACACATAACATATATATATATATATAATATAATATAAATCAAATATGTTTTCGCATGTGTATTGTACGATTATGATCAAATATGTATATGTTCTGGTTTTGCCTAAGATCTGATCTGGATGTCCACCCAGTTACAGTGCTCAAGTTAGCCTCAGCTAAGTGGCAACGCTCCAGGTAAGCCATCCTTCGATTGAGGTCCTGGCTTCCTCTCAGGGATTGCATCGAAATAGCTGGAATCCCACTAAAATTGATCGGAAAAAAAAACGATTTTGACCCACCCCCATTTCATAAAACACCTGTTTATGGAATAATCATGGATGGATTTTTACATGTTTTAATCATACTCATCAGCCATAAACCAATATAGGATGCGCATCCAACAAATCCGCGTCAGTCAACATCAAAAGGTGTCAGAAGACCCGGCCAATCTTGTGGATACCAACAGCAAATAGTATATAAGTTATCAATATCAGCTGTGTGTGATAGATCCCCTCCAGTAAATGAAGAGTTTGCTGTGGAAAATGACCATGTGATAAATAGGTAAATCATCCTTAAGGAAATGGGTCATGTTCCGTATGTTCCATAGCTGTCTTAGTTTACCTGTGATTTATCCCCTGTCCTAGCGACTCGATGCCAGCCAGGGAGGACTGGATGGATTCCAGGACTTTGATCTGCCTGCGGATTAAATATCAACGCCGCGGCTGCTTGAATTCCATGTGTGCCTCCTATTTCTTAAAAATAGCAACATGATAGGAACATGATAGGATCATCAATGATCAGAAACACCATAAAATCCACCGTGGAAGTTCGACAATGTCTTTTTTTGCCAATATGTTTTATCGCAAAATCATGCAAAGATAGCGTGCTGTTGACCTTCCAAAATGAGACAACGTCCAGTGACCCTGATAGGTCCCGGACGTCAATTGTCATCTTATTCCTTAATTGCTAGATTTTTTTCCGGTGAGAAACTCAACGGGAATGAAATGAACTCTTCAGAACAAGTTCGTCCAATAACTCTTCAGCTGTGCGTTTTAATTATGTTCCAGCATGTGGTGGTTCCTCAAAGTCGGGGAAACCAATCTCATCCAAACATGTTAATTATGTTCATTGCAAACAACTTTGAACAACTGTTGGTTTTAGGGCTTCACCTTTTCAAGAAAAACCTCCCACGTATCTGGATGAAGCAGAAATCACTATAAATCACTATAAATCACTATAAATCACTATAAATCACTATAAATCACTATAAATCACTATAAATCACTATAAATCACTAGCCTGAATATGCCTGAATGATATTGAATGATATATACTACAAGTGAAACAGGGACATGGCCTGGTGTGAAACTTGGAGTTCCACAACGCATCAAGGAAAAAAACATCCTTCAGATGGGGAAAATACCTCGATGTACCCTCTGGTGAACTAACATAGCTATGGAAAATCACCATTTTTCATGGGAAAACTCACTATAAATGGCAATTTCAATAGCTATGTTAGTTTACCAGAGGGTATATACTACAAATTGATGTGATGTCTTCCATTCAATCTGAGGCCATTTTGGGGAGCCTTTCCATCTCCTGCACTGCAGCTCTCGCAACTTCTTCGGCCTTCCTGCGGCGACATTTGGGTTTCTGTGATGTTGGGAAAAAGAACCCGTTTCATCCACCGGTCAATCATTCTTTTACCAATATGGCTGTTTTTAGGGGATTTTACGGGTAAACCCACCGTTTCACACACATCCAAATATTATGTGTTCATAGTTCGTTACGTCAAAAAAGTACATTGCTATCCCATGATCATATTCCCATATATTCCCATCATTTCCCCTTGGTTTTTCCCATATTTTCTTTAAAAAAACGGTTGGCTATTGATGGTACTGGCAGACACACCTCCCTGCCAAGGTGCCCATCTGTTGTGATTTTGGCCTCGGCGCTGGCTGAGAGTGGGAGGTTTCACATTTTATCGGTTCATTCATGTTTCATATGTTTCATTGATGTGTAAAGATCTCCGGATTTTGTTCTTTTTCTGGTTATGATTGAAAAAGGTTAAGATATCGTAGGGCCAAAAGCAGACATATCCATGTTATCCGTCAGGATCCACCGCAAGGACCACATCATGGCGCTGAGATCCTGAGATCAGCGCCGCCTTCACACGGTCTTGCACTTGTCTTTCCAGCTCCTCCCCAATGGCTGAGTCATATCCAATTCGGGCTGAGTATGCCCATCATGTACACCCAATAATAAACCAGCCCGATATCGGGTTCATCGGTTCACCCTGTTAGATGGCAAATAGTGGAAACCAATAGCCGTTAAAGCTTAGACTCGAAACAACAAAATTACCGCGATAAAATTTCCATTGGAAAACCGATCCCATTCTTCTTTGGTTACCCTTTCGGCTTTCCGAGCCCACAGCCAGGTCAAAGGATCACTTAGGACGACTTTTTGGATCACTTAGGGCGACATTCAGGGACGTGTAGTTCAACCTTTGGGCTTAATTAACTCCATTGGATACACACCTTTGGGGTTAATCTTTATGGGGGGACAGGGGACTGGGGACCGGGGACAGGGAACAGTGGGAACTACTACAGGTAAGAGACACGACATCAAACACATTGGACTCCATTGGATACACACGTTCGGATGCATCGATATATCTTTCTATTGATACTATAGACATGTATCTCCGACGTAGTCCTATGCGAGCCAAAACGTAGGCCTAAGCGAAGCACTGGCCCCACAGCCTTTGTACCTCTCCATTTTCCGACTCATTTCCAGGCCACAAGGTCCCCGAAACCATCTTCCGTCATCTCAGACGTGGCACGGCCGAGGTGATATCCGCGGCCCTGCAACTGCTGGGTCAACTGATCCAAGGAGGCGGGATCCACATGAGTTACTTCACAAAAAATCACCGCTGGATCAAAGTCTGGCAGCCTCAGATCATCCGCGGCAAAAAGAAATGAAGGACTGGGGCGAATGGCCACCTTCAGTAGAATCGTCTTTGGGACTTCTTGGTTCCATCACATTTCAAGTTTCCATGCTCAATTTCAAGGGTGTCAGGGCCAAAATTGGCTTCACCGCAACTGCACGTCTGGAATCACCCTGTAATCAAAATGACGACTACCCCCAATATATGTGGATGGTTTGAAACATGAATCAAGAGGTGAGCATGCTGTTCACAACCAAGGAACTTCAAGAAAAGTGTCAAAATCTGCACATCCAAACCTTCTGCATCAATGGCCAGAATGTCTACCTCACTGGGTCGCACGGTCGCTTCTTCCAGCAGGGTGGCTGGCGTCTTGCAAGCAACTTTGATCTCCTCGATGTATGGATCAAACTCCTAAACGGCAGCTGCTGGCGGCATCTGGGAAAAAGTTTCACCCTTAAAAAAACATCGCACATATTCTCACATGACTTGCACAGTGGAGAGCCGTTCGTTTAACTTCTAAAAAAATGGAAGCCCAAACCATGTCAAAACAAATGGGTCTAAAGAAAACCATATGTTCGCATAACTGTACGATATGATTTCAAAAAATGGTTCTCAAAAAAAAACACCATTCAAATGTTGAGGGTTCCATCTCAAATTTCGGGCTTCTTTAGTCACTAAAACACTAATCCATGGACCCAGCATGGACCCGTCTGACGAGGACGCCTCGCTGGAAAGATCCAAATGCACATGGTGCTTCAACGCGTGCTGTCGATCCATGGAATTCAGCTGGCACATGGTCCAATGGAAGGCTTTCCGTGGATAATCCTCCGGCGATGGCAATGGCACAATGGCGCAATGGCACAAATCGTTGGCAAAATGGTTGTCAAACAATGTCAAATTCTTAGCGTAGGTAAATGATATGCTAGCATAATGAATCACAAGGATGCATAGATGGATAGATGGACGGAGAGATGGCTGGATGCAAAGATAGAGACGCACAATACAAGTAAATGATCATCCTATTTGCTCGCTGTCATTCAAACAAAGGCACCCTTGTCATCCCTTGTCCTGTTGAAATCGCTCTGAGACCACATAAAATGCAGCTTTCCCGCTGAATGGCGCCACAGCCACATTTTTGGTTCGAATCCGATGGTCTTGATGGAGTTCTGCGACCCTCCGGCGCAGAGTGGCACAAGTTCTTGGACTCGCCTCCACCTTGGAGGAAGCGCCTACCAAGAGAACGTAACATGGGATACCAGAGGCTTCCAACGAAGCAACCTTGAAGCTGCCCCACCTACCTCATGGATCCCCCTCGTGTCTGTGAGACATACCTGGGCCTTCAAATGAATTGAATTAAATCCCTTGATACATGAAACATGCAGCCTACCCAAGCTAGTCAATAATCACCTCCAGCCCCGCGTCATCCAAGCCACCAAAAGTGCCTTCACTTTCTGCTCTGCCATTAGAAATCCCTGCGCTGGATCATTGGAATTGCCAAAGTCACCATCACAGGCCCCAATCCTGGTGAATGAGCCACTCCCGGCTATGGAGGCAGTTAGAAAGTGGGATATCTCCCCAATGTGGAAGGGTATATTCAGAATTCATTGGGTATTATTTATAGCCCACTTACTCAGCAGTTCACTAACCTCATGACCCATCTAGTCACAGTAAATGGGGATGGGAACCAGACACCTTTTAAGCTTTCACCAGGGATCTGCACCAGAGTCGCCGCCTTGTTCTGCTCCACCAATCGCCGCAGAATTGGAAAAGCATCGATTAAGGTCTCGTGGCTCTGTGCCAGCAACCGAAGGCTGCGTGACTTCGGGCTGCAGAATGGACCCAAGAACGGACCAGAGGGCCCCAACCTTCTTGCAGTCCGGCATCCCTGAGCGCACAAGCCCCAAGTTTTCGTGGATTCCGAGAAGTCCCGAGGTCTCTTGGCGACATTGGCGACATCTCCATGGGTGAATTCCTGGATCTTTGGAATCTTTGGAGCTGAATTGCACCATGGGATCCATGGGGCGAAGGCCCTGTAGTCGACACCCGCGCTGAGAATGATCAGGGCCGCCAGGGACCACACGGGTCGCTGCCGCGAGGTGGAAAGCATGAGAGTCATGGAGATCGATGTCGTGCTATTAAATAGCAAATGATATCTTAACTATACATATATTACATATTAAGACATATTATACCGTAATATCATGTAATGATAAAAAACGGATTGTAAGTGTAAATAATGGTTGTATCAAATGATAACTAGACTATATATGTATATATATATATACAGTACTGATAATAATAGTGATGATGCTAACAATACTACAAACAATGTACGTATATAATTATATAATATGGTGGGATACTTGCTATAAATACTAGTTGATCATAGCCATATAAAAATACGCGGTGCGATATTTACTAGATATTTCTCTAGTTGATCCTAGATGAGTTTTATTAAACTACAATAAATCACTCAACTGACATGTTGGGCTATTTTGGGATAATTAGTTACCCCTATACAGACCATCATTCCAGTAAAACCGCACTGAGCTTGCCAACGGAGTGTGGCTTCTGTAGATGCTTCATACTCATGTGTGGAAAAGGTGCATTTTCCGTAACCCTGGCATAATGGAACATCAGAAATGTGCACCAAACATTATTTCCCTGTTGGAATTGGGTTCACGTGGATCATGTCTTCCGGTCAAAAAAACGGCCGACATCTTGGAGTGAGGCACGGAGTGAGGCAATCGGGAGATCTTCGCGCAAACTCTGACGGGAGATGGTCACCATGGTCTCATCAAAATTGGTTTCATCTTGCCAGGGAGGTTGAACCATAGTTTTATGACATGAACAAACAAACACAAAAATAAAACAATTTCGATACCCAACCCCAACTTGGCACTCATCATTTAAGGGCTAATCATAAAATATCATGAGTCATCCTCACTAGGACTATAGAAGTAAAAACAAGTCTTTGAAGTACGTGACATGGGAACAGTGATACACAGTATCAATATTAGCATCATATTGACAGCAACGACTAAGTCGTTCTCATCTGAGCCGCAGATCAGGGAGTGATGTCAACCACGGATTGATAACCCGCCCAGGCTGTTTGAGGCTGTTTAGAGTAATTGAGGTGGTACCTGGTACCTCAAAAATAGAGGTAAATGTTAAATTGTGATAAACTACTATATTAACATATATAATTATATATATATTAACCATCTCTAGTATATATCCTTGGAATAAACTGCGGGTTTATTCATCCTGGGTTAACATTATTCATTTGAACAACTACTATGTACTAACGGCTCCTCCACTTCCAACTTCAAGTCATCTTGCTCTTTCCCAAGCTGGCTAAACAGCGCAGCCTGTGCAACCTGAGCGACCAGGAACCTTCCGACATGCTTAGCAACTCGACTGATGTACTCGCAACTCTCAGGGCTGCACCAAGGCACTTTTTCCTCAGCATGGATCCAGCTGGCAGTATCTACAAATATCATCAAAATTCATCAAATACCTACAAGAAGAACCGATCATGGAAGCCTCTGATGCAGGAAGTCTAAAAAACTTTGGCTGCCAGTTTGAGAAAGTGAGTAGGGAACAAACACAGGGATGTAGCCCAAAGCACATCCACTGTGCAACCGTCAAATTGAACAGTATTGAACATTCCTGCATGCGGCAACTTGCAAACTGCCAAGGTTTCCATGCGTCACTGATATCATTCTGCCAGGCTGCTGATTCGACCCACTGAATCCTGCATGTTTTCACGGAGAGTGTCTGTTTCTGGGAAGATCCGATGGGTGGATCATTTCAAATCATTTCACCCTGGAAATGGGGACATGGGGCTGTCCACGGGTTCAACTTCCCAGGCTCTTAGCTTCATTGAAAATCTGATGATCGAGCCACCGATACCTCGAGAATCGGTGGCTCAGGGGTTCACCATCCCAGATATCAAAAAAACAGAAGGGGATCATGTTTCTGCTCACCAAATTTCTATTTAACGCCGGTTATATCCCCGTTTCTGCTCCTGAAGAATTTGGCAACCCAAATACCTTGATGCTATTCCCTGTTGCAGTAACCCCAGCTTTGGATAGCTTTGGCATGTAGGCTGGCCGTGCACCTAATTCTTTGAACTGGATTTGTCCGAAAAACAGTCTACTGACAACTGTTATGGTTGATCATCATATTTCAATATTTCCATCTATTTCCCCTTAGGATTTCCGTTGAATTCAGAAGTATTCACCCCATGTTCCAGTCCTTTTTTCCAGTGACACCGATTTTTTTTCGATATCATATCAATTCATATCAATTCATATGGAAAGTTATATCATGTTATATCTATCCCACTCTCCCATTGGAATCTCCAAACGTCTTCCCATGACATGTCGGCCCATGTTTCCCCCTTGTTTCGGCACCTCATTAAAGACCTCCACCCATTCGGCTGCGACTTGCCGACTCTGAGCGTTCACCAGTTCCCCGATTCCGTCCGCCACCACGGCATCTGGACCTCGGGGGTTTATGACCTACCCTCTGGTTATGTCAAAATAGCTATTGAAAATGCCATTTATAGTGGATTTACCCATGAAAAATGGTGATTTTCCATAGTTATGTTAGATTACCAGAGGGTATAGCCTATGTCTACCTATAGACAGCTGCACATACTTAGAAAATCTGAGAGAAATGTGATCATCTGTCCAGGAATATCCATGAATATCCAGAACTTTGATATATTTTGTGATGTTCATAGCCATATCACCAATCATCAGCCTTTATACATTTACAAACTTCTCGGGTGGAATCCTTTTCCAAGTTGGGATTGCTAGTATCCTTAGTATCCCAAACCGTCAGCACAAACTAACACACTTGCTGCATACTGCCAAGTTTTGCCAACCATTCAAGGGAGGAACACAAGAATAAAGATGTTTATTTCATACTTCCATATATTTCCATATCTTATCTATCCATCTTTTAAGGGTAACCCCTTCTGACCGGTGCACCTTTTTCTGCGGGACACTCCCCGGACTTTTCCGGAGAAAAGCGCTGACGAGGCCTAAGGATCCATCTCGCTATAGCTGGGGTATCCCAAGAGCTGGATGGTTTCCTGATGTTTCCTGGATGATGCAGGGATACCCCCTATTCCAGGAAACCATATATCAATTGATATGAAAATGGATGCAAAAAAACGATAAAAATAGCAAACTGTGTACTTTCATTCTATATACTGCACTGCACCTGGATGTTGTCAACATTTTCAACATCATCATCCAGATCCAAAAAAACATTCAGCAATCACCACGATATGATTCGCCGGTGAGCTGAGGGCCGTAACCCCCTGTCCTGCAGCTAAATCCATCACAGCTCCAAGGTCCTACCAGCAGTGTCCTGCAGCTCGGCGGTTTTGATTTGGAGGACTAGCACGTCCCAGGGGTCCCAGTTGCTGATTGGGGGTTATAACTTATAACTTGTAACATGGGTTAGCCACAAAATAGTGAGAATTTATGATCATTTGCGACTAAGTCTACTACGATGCTACCCCCATTTTTTTTACCAGTTTGGGCTATAAAAATCCGGGGGTTGACATTATACCTGCATCTTCCATTGCGAAATTACTTCTTTTAGTCGTTCCTCCAAAAAGCAGAGATTTCAGTCGTTCCTGGGAAAAAACGCCGTTGCAAGAGAAATGGACTGTGACTGCAAGAAATCGTGCCAGAACTGGTCGGGTAATGTCGCCTTTTGGTCGGAAATTGTCGCCGTTTGGTCGGGCAATGTCGCCGTTGCCAAACTGAAGCAGCTATTGGCAAAGGAACCCCTCGAAACCCAAAAAAAGCCGCTGATGTCCAAAACATGGTTTTTGGAAAAAAGGCAGAAAAAAAGGTACCACTAGCGAAGATGCAGGTATAAAAGAGATTCAAAGAGAATATCGCAACGTCAAATATGTCAAATGATGGGAACCTGAAGAAGAATACAAGAATTTGAGGTAAACAATGCCTATCTCTATTGCGGGGAGTTTCCTTGACCCTGTGAGGTTCGCCAGGCATTTTTTGCTTTCTCTATCTTTTCTCCACTGCCACCGTGGCGGCACCTGTCCCTCATGGAAGACGCTTGTCATAGCTTATCTGAGGGCGACTCAGCATGCCTCTCTTCATTGAAATATTCCTGTTGCATGCGAGCCATGAAGTTCTAAGCAGTCACTGCCAACCCCGGTTAAACATCACTGCCAACCCCTCCGGGTTGCCAGGTCCATTACAGCTCAGTTCTCTTCTCCGCTGTCGCTTCGCACTGGCCCGTGATTTTGGTCCCCTGGATTTGAAGCTCGAGAACATGCCAGGTTTCGGCAGTAAACTGCCTCCGCGGGATGCAGCCCCGTAGCTCAGTATTACCTTCGAAGTTGGTGTAGTGCAAACCTTGAAGTTGCGAAGATCTCAAACATATATATTGCTTGTAGATGCTTGTAGATTCTCCATTTTTTTCGTGGATTCATCCATGATATTCATGGGAAACTAGAACAAGTACCTGAAACTGGAAGAATCCAGGAAACTCGGGGCCTCAAAAATTGCAGCTGGCACTTGACCAGAAAAGTTGTTGCGATGAATGCGCAAAGCTGTAAGGTTCTGAAGTTTGGACAGGGCTTCTCCAGGCAACGGACCTGCCAATGGTTGGATGGGGCAGATCCTTCTGGTAACGAAAACCAACCAACATCAACCAACAAGATAAGACTACCTGTTCCACCCTAAAGAAGGTAATTATTCAACGGGATGACCTTTATTACTCTTTTGTCCCTTTATTCTACCGGAACGGTTTTTAACAACCTCGAACCGTTCTTTACGTATCTGGCCTCTTCTGGTATGAAAAAACCGGCTACCGCTAAAGGTGTTTTTTTACGTATTTTTTACGCAAAAAATACGAAACTCTGAACGCAATTGAACGCAATTTGAACGTAATTGAACGCAATCTGAGCGGTTTGGATTTCGGAGAACGGTTTTGCATGGAAAACAAAGTACATATTACGATCTTTAATGACTCTGAACAGTCCTGAACAGTTCAGTAGTCTAGTGGTTTGCCGTGGTTTGTTTAAATATGCATATTTTCTCCCAACAAATATTGTAACGGTTTTTATCGGCTGGAAAAATGATTCTTCTCGAAAACAACGATGATTGATAATTGGCTCCAAGAAGAATAATTTTATTTCAAAGATGTAACAGGTAGTAGCATCACCTCCAAAACTGGCAGAACAGCGACAGTCAATGTGTTGGGTTCTGGATAATTTCCTCCATGAACATCAGCCTGTCGGGGCATCAATTTGGCCTCACAGGCAAAATATACATGTGTGTTACCCATCAATCAAACTGGCAAAAACTACAATTCATCAGGTCAATTCAGTTTACCATAGTTTACCCTTAGGGCCCCGCATTTAAATTGAACATGTTCAAAAATGCTTCAGAATCCGAGAGTTGCCCCAAACGTATTTCCCCGCGGTGTCTGTTGGGGTTGCCCCAGGGTTGCCATCTGGGCCCATCGCCGATCGCCTGAAAGCTCGTTGAGCTGCAGGTCCAGGCTGCGTAGCCGGGGCCAAGCCTCCACCAGCGCCGGTGGAAAGTGGCCATGGAGGAAGTTGGCGTCCACCCAGAAACGCTCCAGCTGGTGCCAGGACCACCAGGGAGCCTTCGCGTTAAACATCTTTCCATGGACATAGCGAGAGAAAAGTATCATGTTTCAACCCTAAAATGAACCATTCAAACCACTGGCTACAATCAAAAATGAAAGGTATATGATTGTTCACTAGTTATCAGCCCATTGTGATCCCATATTGGTCCATTTTCAGGGATGGTATTTCGAAATATCTTTGTTACCGCCCAAATGGACAATGGGTTAACATGGTAGTTCAATGCACCATCTGTTTAGCCACCTGATTTCCAGCAGATGCGGGTAAAATATGGTAAAATCCTCACCTTCAAAAATAGAAAATATATAGACGGTTGGAAGCAACCAACCAGATCAATCATAAACCATCCCTAAGCTACAGTGTCCTTCACCATGATGCCGTGATATGCCGTGCCTCTGGATCGTCTAGCCTGGCCACCCAGGACTCCCAGGGACATTGCCACGCCCAAGCATCGTCGTCGGTGGAATCCATGGGCTGGGCAGCATCCCAAGAAGGCCGCGGGCGACACCTGGGCCCAGTTGATATCCCAAAACTTGCCATTCTGATATCCTTTGAATTCCTTTGAATTCCCTTGACCTTGGGGTAGTTTGGCCCCACCCTTTCACCCCGGAGACCTGCTCAGAAAGGCCGGGGACGTCTTGTTCCACGGCGCTGGGCGTTGACAGCTGCGATCCAGGCCCTGAGAGTAGGCAATGAAACTCCGTAGAGTTGGTCCAAGCGCTGCCAGTGCGGAGGGAACGGCGGAATCGTCTCGGAATTGTAAGCCGCGAACATCCAACTCCACCAAGGGGAGCTGCCCAAAACATGAGGGCAAGCGGCTGATATATCCATCCACATGCAAGCGCCTCAACTTTTTCAAAACGCAAATGGACTCCAAAAGTTCCACAGGAGCCTCGACCGGATCATCTATTCGTATCTCAAACTCTGGGTTCCAGTGCAAGCTAAGACCAAGCAACTCATCCTGCCAACCCTGCAGGAGAGCTGACACCTTGCCAATCAACTCCGTAGAAAGTGGGACACTCAACTGCAAAACCTGGATTCCAGGAAATGCTTGAAGCCAAAACTCAGGATGTTTCAACGCTCCAGCACCCTCTATAGACTCTAAGGCCAAATATCTCACCTGAGTTGCAGCTGTTTGGGGTAACTCCTCCAACTTCGGCCACTGAAACCATCGAGACCTCAGCTCCAGTGCCATCAGCTGCCCCTGCCCATCGATGCCAGGGCGACAAGCCACGAAGCGGCAGGCACAGGGCGTTGTGGCCTGGCACCGGCGGAGTGCACCTTGCAGTCGGGAAGGACCTACCAGCTGCCAGATTGCAGTGAACAGGGCGGCTTCGCTACTCAGCCTCAACGTCGGTCATTTTTGCCTTTGGAAAACTATCTCAAAGCTATGTTTTGGACTTCTGAATTGTTATTTTGATCAATTTTTAGGTTCATCCTCCCATTTTTCGGGATGGGTTTGTTTCAACCAAAAAAATAAACTGAACCCCCAGCCAGAAACAGTGGCAGGGTTTCAAACTCCAACTTACGTAGCCAATAGGTGCCAGCCACGGCAGGATAAAGCTCGTGGCCTCCATACAGGCTCATGATCTCATCCTTTTGTAGGCCATGCCTCGGTAACTCGTTTTTGACATTGCCAGTGGGGTAAATCAACCCGGTTTAAAAATGTATGTAATATTTAATATCCATACGGAAAATTTGGGTCAATATATATATATATATATACATATACCTAGGGCCTCCTCAGACTTAAATTTCAGCCCGAGCTCAAAAAACCTGTTTTTCTGCCCGAGTTCTTAAAATCTGCCGGAGTCCCAAAAATCCGCCTGAAGCCTTTTTGAGTATGGTGTTTTAACTACGAGGCAGCTTCATTCAAGAAACATCAAAAGCATGCAGTTCGGGAAAATCCGCCTGAATAGTGGGAGAATCGGCCCGAATAGTGGGTAAATCCGCCCGACTATCGTCTTTCAAAATCAAAAAACAATGGGAATAATCCTTGAGCCTGCCCTGGTTATAATGGCAAAATTTGACTGAATGGCAAAATCCGCCCGAGGTCTAATTTTCAGCTCTAAAAGGATCCTTTTAGGAAAAGGTTTTAATTTTAGCCCGAAAGGTGGTGCTAGGTATATATATATATGTGTGTGTGTGAAATCGCTTCCCATCCTTGACCATGTCGGTCTGATCGTATGCATGTGCTGCAGGGAACTCTTGTGCTCGAGGTGAGAAAAGGCAGAGCTCCCATGTACGGCCCCTGGTGGGGCACTCCGCATTGACATTGGTAGCGGAGCCCCACCAGGGGCCCGCAGCGAAGCAATGGCAGAGGAGAAGGACCTGAAAAGGTTCAACGGCGAGGATGAAGATCCTGGCAAAGCACTAAAAGAATGGAGACTGTGGGCAACAGCAAAAATGCTCACATGCAAGGACCTGAAGAAGGAGCAGCGTGGACCATGGGTGTTTACGCTACTGGATGGGAAAGCTTGGGATGCCTGTGAACATCTCTCTTTAGAGAAACTATCGGCACCAGGTGGCGAAGATGAGGTATGAAGCCTTCTTGAGGCCAGGTTTCCCGAGAAGGAGCCCTACGATCAGATGGGCGAAGCGCTTGGAGCTGTTTTTGCCTTGGCAGCTCGCGATGGCGAAGATCTGAAATCATGGACTGGAAGGGTTCGAGACACCTTTGACCAGTGTCAACGCAAAGGTGAGGTCAAGTTTCCATCGGAAGCTAAAGGCTGGATACTGTTACACTGTGCAGGTATGTCAGAGGAACAGCGAGCAATAGTGAAGGCGAAGAGTCAAGGCCGTTTGGATTTCGAAGTGGTGTCACAGGTGCTCCGATCATGTTTTCCGGAGTACAAGGCATCAGCAGGTCGAAAGAAGACCATCGGTGCTTATCAGGCTGAAGAGCAGTCTGGTGACCAAGCTGGACCTGGCGATGACGGTGACTTCCATGATGTGGAGGCTTTTCTGTCTGAACACAAGGTACAAGTTGGAGACAGCACTGATGAATTAACCTTCTCCGAAGGAGAAGCTGCTGAAGCCCTAGCTGTGTCCTGGTCTGAACGTCGCCGAGAGATAGCAAAGCTCCGTCAGAGTCGTCAGTTTGGCACTCTGGCCAAAGACAAGCGCAGTTTCAGGATAGAAGTAGAGGAACTGAAAAAGAAAACAAAATGCAGAAGATGTGGAAAAGTAGGCCATTGGGCCAGAGAGTGCAGGTCAGCCCCAATGGACAAACCTGCAGCATCTAGCTCGACTCCAACACCACCAACAGGCGCTGGATATGTTCAAGTTGAAGAAGAGACCCCCACATTTGTGGGAGCAGCAGAACATGTACAAAGTTGCACAAACAGTTTTGCAGCTGAGATTCTGACAGGCGGCCTGGTGTCATCACCCGGTTTTGGGGTGGTAGACAGTGGATGTGGGAAAACGTTGATTGGTCAAGAAACGTTGCAACAACTGATCGAGCTGATGCAAAAGCTTGGACAGCATCAGGTGAAGTACCGAGCTGAAAACAATGTCTTCAGGTTTGGAAATGGTATGACCGAGACTTCGGAACAAGTAGTGACTCTGCCAGTGGGGATAGCACGTACGTTTGGTACAATAGATGCAGCAGTGATCAGAGGATCTGCACCACTCCTGTTGGGTCGTCCGACGTTGGTGAAGCTGGGGGCATGTTTGGACTTCAAGACCAACAACATGTCCTTCTTAGGTACATCAGCAGAGTTGAAGATCAACAGTGCAGGTCAACTCCTGGTCGATGTGCTCAACTACCCCATCAAGGAGACCAAGCTGTCTATGAGCCCAACTCCGAACTCCAGTCATGAGGCGAAGGGTAGGTTGTCGTCCCAAAGAACCAAAGTAACCCTCAAAAACAAGGAATGCAGATGTTTGCTAGCTCAAATGAATCAAAAGCGGGAGCCATCTGAATATGCAGTAGCCGAATTGTTTTCACCACCGCGTTTTTCAACTGAAGCCAGAAACAGAGGTCAGAAAGGGTTGTCCTATGATATCAAGCAAGGTTGGGATCTAACTGACCCCAAAACCCAAGCGATAGTGGATAAGCAACTGGATGAATCAAAACCTGATCTCCTAGTGGTGTGCCCGACATGCACTCATCGAGGCGGGTGGGAGCATCTCAACAAGTGCTACAGAAGTCCAATTGAGACTGCCCGTCTGCTGAAGCAGTCCCGTGAGCAGATCAAATTCAGTGTCCGCCAGATTCGCAAGCAGCTAGCCAGAGGAGGTGAACTCATGTTTGAGCATCCGTGGGGGTCAGATGTTTGGGATGATAATGAAATGGTTCCCCTACGTAGGAAGTTTGGGGTTAGGAGGGTTGACATGTGTGCATACGGTCTGTCCTGTCCTGATACCTGTCTTCCAATCCGAAAAGCCACTGGGTTAATGTTGTCATGCCGACCAGAAGATCGTAACCATGTGTTGCAAAAGTGTCCAGGTTGTGCAGAACACAGGTTGGTTGCCGGAAAACTCAGAAATGGCCAGAATGTGAGTGAATATGTCGCCTCATACACGTCACAGTTTGTCAAGAGCATCATGGACATGTGTTTGCCTGAACACCCAAGTTTGCCAACACACCAAGTTGATCTAGCTGCATGCGAAGAGACCGAATGCCTGGCCGATGGAGTTGTCATAGCTCCCGCAGAAGCCCAACAGCTCGAGCCCGCTCCAGCGGGTGAGAATAGCTCACAATCCCTGGACGATGATGCCGCCAAAGTCCAACATGCACTCAAGCGCCTTCATGTTAATTTAGGCCACCCAAGCAATCGAGATTTAGTGCGCATCCTCCAACATAGCAAAGCGTCCGCAAAAGCCATTCAGATGGCCAGGGATTTTGAGTGTACAGTTTGTGCCAACCATCAGAAGCCAGCATGCTCTATGCCAGCCAAAGTGTCCAGAGTGTGGGATTTCAACGAAAGAATAGGGCTTGATGTCAAATACTTGCCAGGGTGGAAGGTAAACCAAAGGGTTCCATGTGTGAGCATTGTGGACTATGCATCATCGCTGCATGTGATGGCTCCGATTTTCGAGCGTGAGAGTGCAGAACTGATCAAGGGTGTGTTGAGAGATGCCTGGATCAACTGGGCAGGGCCCCCAAAGGTGTTAGAACTTGATCCATCACGACCAAACTTGAGTGATGAGCTTGCACAGTTTTGCCAAACTCTCGGAATTGACATTGTCCATACTGCAGCCCATGCCCATTGGCAGTTGGGCAAGGTAGAGCGTCAAGGACAGTGGTTCGAACAGATACTGGCTAAGGTGCATGAAGAATGTCCTCCAACGTCAGCAGAACAGTTTGTAGACAATGTCATGCAGGTGCAGGTCGCCAAAAACTCCTTAATCACGGTGTCTGGAGCCAGTCCATTTCAGATAGTGTTTAGCCGCAATCCCAGGGTTCCACAAGACCTAATGCAAGATGAGGTTCACATTCCAGCTGTTGATGCCACTCTGTTTGAAAATGCAAGTCAACGAGCGGCAGCCATCCGTCAGGCGGCCCGATGTGCAGTGTTGCAGTGCCAAGATGAGAAGGCGCTGAAAGCAGCCCTCAGGTCTAGGCCGAGACCACGCCGTGAATTTGCATCCGGAGACTGGGTGTATTACTGGAGAACCCAAAAATGGCAAGAGGGTCAGCTCGTCAAGGGCGGTAGATGGTATGGGGCTGGGATGATATTGGGTAGACTGGGAATCAACTTCATTGTAGCTCATCGCCGCAGCATCTTTAGATGTTCACCAGAGCAATTGAGATTTGCTACAAGTGAAGAACAAGAGGTTGCCAAGTTTGATGAATCAGAACTACTGGGTATCAAGAATCTCCTCGAAAAAGGACAATTTCCAAAAAGTCAGTTCACCGATTTGGTACACCAAGAAGGGCCTCCGACACTTGAAGAAGCTATGAATCCAGATTCAGTCCAGCCGGACAGCGCCAAGTCTGCAGCGCAGCTCTTCGAAGAAAGGGCACAAAATTCGAGGCAGTATTTTTCCCTGCCGGATGCCAAGCCTGACTCCACCGAAGAATCCACAGCACCAGTAGGAGAAGCGGTAGATAAGTCACCTGCGTATGGCCCAATTCGTAGAAGGCATAAAGGAAAATCACCAGAAGCACCGTTGTTCAGACCAGCAGCAATGGCACATGATGATCTCGCTGAGATTCTCCATGAAACAATTCCACAAATGATTGAAGATCATTTGATGTCAACGGTAGGTGATACTCAAGCAGGTGGTGAAAGTAGCAGTCCGAGAGGTGTCAGCTCCAAAAGGGAAGCCAGCACAGAACCAACCTCTCCTCGTGAGTCCACGAGAGCCAAAGTAGATGATGTGGCTGAAAGCCTTTTCAGCGCGCATGACAGCACCGTTCCGAATTTCACCATAGAAGCTCTCACAGCAGCCTTCATTCAGAAGAAACTCCAGAAGGAAATTCCAGCAGTAGGCAATGAACCTATTCTGCAAAGTAAGGTAGAAGCCTCAAGAGCCTTAGAGTGGGAAACCCTTCTAGGAAAGAATGCAGTGCGAATATGGAGAGGAGACAAAGCCAAAGCCATTCGTCGTTATCAGTCTGATCGATTTATTGGTAGTCGTTTTGTCATCATCAACAAACAAGATGAAGATGGTGAACGCGTGAAGAGCAGGTGGTGTCTCCAAGGTCATTTAGACCCAGACTTTCAAGAGAAGATTCGGTCGGGAGCATGCCACAGCCCGACACTGCATCCCTTGTCAAGAGCCCTGCTGTTGCAGATCATTTCCAGCAAAAAATGGACTCTTCAGCTTGGCGATATCAAAGGAGCCTTCCTTGAAGCAGGACCCATAGACAAGAAGTTTTCTCCGTTGTATGCTCACCAGCCTCATGGGGGTGTGCCGGGCCTAGAGTCAGAAGATGTGATAGAAGTTTTGGGAAACGTCTATGGAGCCAACGATGCGCCCCTCAATTGGTTCAACACTTTTGACTCCACCACCAAACAAATTGGTTGGGAACAATCACAGTTCGACCGATGTTTGTACTATCTGAGGGATAAGCAGGGTCAGTTGGTAGGTGTTCTGGGAGCACATGTGGATGACACCATCACAGCCGGCTCCGGAAGTGTTTATGAGGCCGCCATTGCAGCACTCAGACAGAGCTTTCCGTACAGAAAGTGGCGTATTGGGAATGGGGAATATTGTGGGGTCCAATACAATCAAGATCCCCAGACTTTCAACATAACCTATGGCCAAAAGGAATACTCTGAGCATCTTAGACCCATCAACTTGACCAAAGATAGACTCAAGAACAAAGATGCCTTAGCAAGTGAAAAAGAGGTTGCTGCACTGAGAGCAATCAATGGCGCCGCAAATTGGATCAGCAGCCAAAGCCGACCGGATTTGGCAGTGCAAACTTCCTTCAGTCAGCAGTGTTTTCCAGATCCAAAAGTGTACGACCTGGTATTTGCCAATCAGCTAGTTCACAGAGCCAAACAAAATAGCGATGTTGAAATCACTGTCCAATCCATTCCGTGGAGTGATATTGGAATTGCTTTTCACTCAGATGCTGCGTTTGGGAATGCCAAGGGACATCGAACTCAGGCTGGGTACATAGCGGCCTTTGTGGACAAAAACCTGTCCGAAAACCAGCCTAGCAAGTGGTCACCGTTTGCCTGGAAGTCTTTCAAACTGCCAAGAGTTGTATCTTCCACGTTAGCGGGAGAAGCACAATGCTTCACCACAGCAAGTGCCGTAGCTGAATGGATGTCTCTGTTGCTGGCGGAAGCCAATCATGGGTCATTCGATCTTCGCACCAAAGAACAAGTGCAAAGCCATGCAGTAGGATAAGTGCAATTGAAGTGTAGGGATGACATCTCTATGGTCTCAATTGTAGGAATCACTGACTGCAAAAGCCTGTACGATCATGTGTCGTCGTTGTCATCGGTATCCAAGTGCGAAGATAAGCGAGTGGCCATAGACCTGGCCATACTGAGACAGTGCATGAAAAACTCTGGACTTCAAATTCGTTGGTGTCCTTCAGAACTCATGCTAGCCGATGCGCTGACCAAAGATCAGCTTGACCCAAGTGAACTGTTGAGAACCGCTTTGCAAATAGGAGAATATCAGCTCAACAAAGAAGCCACCATTCTAGCCATTCGAAAGAATCAGCGTGCAGCAAGAGAAACACAGAAGAGACGCCAAAAAGATAGCACTCTGCCGGAAACTGCCAAAAAGTAACTCCAGCCAGAGCTCCCAACCGGGGATGAAAACTGTTTTACAAAAACCAAATACAAAAGGAGCATAACGAAATAAAAATAATGGGGTAAATTCACACTAAGGGGTATAGTTAAGTGATAATTAATGGGAATCACAAGACTTGAGTTTGCGCATGAAAATGACATCTTGAGTTCAGAGTGTAAAGTTGTGCAACATGACATGTCACATTAATCTTGCTCAAATCTTGCGGTAGCGTGCATCGGATCTGAAAGATCACAATCCCATCATATCCTTAGAGCCCGGTTTACTTTTGTGACTTCTCTGCAGCGCCGTATTTGTTCATTCAGCCGCTATGGCATCGTCAGCATCGAAGATGACACCTGAGGAAATCAAGGACCTCGTCCGAAGCCTCGAGGCGATGGGACAGATGGACGCTGTCCTAATTGAGGCACAGATGGGCCGCCAGCAGGTGATCGAAGGCATGAGTGACAGCAGCAAGCGTCGCCTCTCCTCAGCAGACTCTGACCCAGAAGAGTTTGAATATATCTCAGGAGAGCAGGACATGCCTGCCCGCCTGAGCAAGAAGCAGCAGCCGATTGCTCCAAAGGCCAAGGGAAGCACAGGCATCCTGGTGCCCAAGCATGTTGACCTCCCGGAGAATGTGGAATCCCTTGCAGACTGGGGAAAGACAACTTGTGAGCTTCACAAGTTTGCCCGTCGCGAACTGTCATATGTAGATATGATCAAGGAGGCCAAGCACAATGAGGGTATGAAGGAATATCTGGATTGGGTCTACAACACTGGCATCAAAAGCGCTAAGGCAGATGACTTGCGCTCCTATCTTGCTGCCGTGGATTGGAAGACCAAGAAAGACAGCCAAGCGACTGGAATCACATATCCGGGCACCACCATGGTGCGTCGTATGAAGTAATTAAAATTTTGATTTTTCATTTGGATTTGGAGGAGTGTGAAATCGCTTCCCATCCTTGACCATGTCGGTCTGATCGTATGCATGTGCTGCAGGGAACTCTTGTGCTCGAGGTGAGAAAAGGCAGAGCTCCCATGTGCGGCCCCTGGTGGGGCACTCCGCATTGACATATGTATACATATACATACATATATAGTTTTATCATAATTTATCGCACTGTTTATCTATAGTTTACACATTGGATGCATCCTGAACTAAGTTGGTGGGAAAATCCTCATTCCTATTGCATGTTCAAATCGCTCAAATGTTGGTGACATGATACTGCATGATGGTGTTCAACTGCCGCAAGCGCGTCTTCCAGGTAAATTTGCCGCGTGATTTCCGGTCACCTTCTTCAAACTGATCGTCCCGTTCAGGGGTGTAGTCCATGAAGTCTCGCCAGGATGCCATGATTTCCTGCATGAACTCGGAATAACCACCTGACCAGGCAGTCAAACCTAGAAACTCTAACGATCCTTGCTCAGAACATCCAAAATCAATTTCATATAATTAGGTTGATGCTTGGTGAACTATGATACCCCAGAAATCAAGTAATGTTTGATGAGAACACTTGATCGATTTTGCTGTTTGATGACTCGCCTTGAGGGCTTAAATCATCTATTTTTCAGACAGTACACGATCACCGTACATATACCTATATAAAAATATACTATATGTTATATGTATATCAAAACTGTCAAAACTCATATACTTGCAATATATACGTATCGTACTACAAAATGGATGAATATCAACCCTGGTCAACAGTGTGGCGCCTGAGACTAGGTCCTGAGGAAGCGATGGCCGGATGGTGGACTTTACCTTTAACCGCTCAAACTCCTGATCCAAGCGATGACTCGCACGGCCACCGGCGCGCAGTGGAACTTTCACTTCACGCTCCGCGGGTTCAGTTGGAGGTTGGCATTCTGGGGCGGATGCTGCAAGGATCTGCGTCACAGAAAGTGCAGCGCCAAGACCGACAAGAACAAATGTTCTGGTAATGCATAGCGTGGTCATACGGACAGGAGGGAAGCCATCCAAAATCAACGACATTCAAGACATGTGGAACACTTTCCTATACACATTTATGATATGATGTAAATATATATATATGTATATATATATAATCATATATATAAATTGTATATTGTACATAGCCTTTGACCTGACTGACTTGGTACCTGGCAATCAAAACCAGCACTTAATGATGCCATGCTGCAAGACTGTTACCTGTTGCTGTTCCATACATGTCTGGACTTATTGATAACACACATCCTTGAGCCAAACTGCGGAGAACAAGGACAAATGCCAACGGGAGTACCTAGAACACTTGGGGCCATGTGAATTAGACATCGGATTGGAAACCATTGTTTTTATCATTATAATTTAATAACAAAATAAAAAAATATAAAGGTTGCGGAAGGAAGTTCAGAAGTCAAGCCAGAGAAGAAAAGAATCAGAAGAGAAAAAGGCAAACAATAGAAAATCAAGGTGTGCAATTAATTGTTGAAAAGTTGCGAAGTGTTTTCGCCAATGTTTTGTGGATCCGGGGGGTCGAAAAGTGGGCTCGCTAGAGAGAAACACATTTCCAAGTCAAAATGGTGAAAACACCTCAGTTTTGGAGCACGTTTGGAAGTTGAGAGGTTCAAAAAGTGTACCCGCCTGTGGGGCGAAACGCATTTCAAAGCCAAAACGCTAAAAACACACCATTGTCGGAGCACTTTTGGAAGTTGAGCTGTTGAAAAAGTGCGCGGCTGTGGCGCGAAGCACATTTCCAAGTCAAAAGTGTTAAAACCTGACGGTCTCGGGCCACCTTTGGAAGTTGAGACTTTGAAAAAGTGAAAGCAGCTGAAGTGAAAATGGTAAAACACCACAAGTTCGGACCACTTTTGGACGTTGCACTATGGATTCTGGTTATTCTGCACCTTGCCAAAAGTAAACAAAACGTGGGGAATTCCTAGCAATAGCAAACAAACGATGGCAAGTGGGAGGTTTCGAGAGGACTTGTACTACACTGCGCTGCGCTACACTAGACTCCACTGCACTGCACTACATTGCACGACAGCTACAACGTACAATCTCAACTGAAAACGCCATTGCAACATAGTACAACTACAACTACAACTTCAACTACACTACGCCACACTAGACTACAACTACACTACACTACAGCCAAAGACTTTAGTCATAGCAATTGTCTGGATTCACTATATTTACAATGGGGAGACATCGCTACAACCCGGTCACGGCAGGGTCACAGCAACAATGCAAAACACTGTGCATGCCTGAAAAAGGTCTTCTTTCATTGGGTCTCCGCCTCTTTTGCGTGGCAGGCGTGGGACAATGTGCATTGCCAAGGGGTCGGATGTATGCCCTGGCGTCCCTTGGGTCTCCGCCTCTTTTGCCTGGCAGGCGTGGGACAATGTGCATTGCCAAGGGGTCGGATGTACGGGGTCGGATGTACGCCCTGGCGTCCCTTGGGCTCCACCTCTTTTGCGTGGCAGGCGTGGGACAATGTTCTTTTGTGTGGCACTCACTCACTCACTCCCTCACTCACTCACTGACTCACTCACTCACTCATTCACTCACTCACTCACCTGTGCATGCACATACATACGCAAATGCTCACAAACTCACCCACCATCACCACTCCATCACTCTTATACTTCCTTTTCCCTTCTTGCTTTTCTATGCTCAGTCTAAGTCTAAAGAAGTTGGTAACATGTGGGGTTATCCGGTCCTATAATTTGGAGTGGTTGCTATGGTTGCAGTGGTCACCTCACCCACAACTGCTGGATGTAGTGTGGTGTAGTGCAGTTGTAATTGTAGTTGTAGTGTGGTGCAGTGGAGTTGTAGTTGAAATGTGTGATATGTGTAGTGTAGCTGCAGTTGCAGTTGTAATTGTGGTGTGGTGTAATTAGTGTAGTGTATGTAGTGTAGGGTGGTGTTACTTGATATTGTTGCTGTAGCTGTGATCGTAGTAGTAGTTGGTGTTGTAGTGTAATTAGTGTAGTGTAGTGTAATTAGTGTAGTGTAATGTAGCGTAGTTTATTTGTATTTGTAGCTGGAGTAGTAGTAGTAGTAGTAGTAGTAGTAGTAGTAGTAGTGGTAGTGGTAGTGGTAGTGGTAGTGGAAGTGGAAGTGGAAGTGGTAGTGGTAGTGGTAGTGGAAGTGGAAGTGGTAGTGGTAGTGGTATTTGTAGTTGTCTATCTGTCTATCTATCTATCTATCTGCCTATCTATCTATCTATCTATCTATCCATCTGTCTATCCGCAATCTGCAATCTGCAAGCTTGAAATCGAAGCAGTTCTGCGAGACTTCCTCAACTTTTGAACTTGATAACGTCAAAAAGGAAGCAATTCTGCAAGACTTCCCACATTTTCGAAGTTGGCAACATCGAAAACGAAGCAATTCTGCCAGACGTCCCCAATTTTTGAAGTTGACAACATCAAAAACTACAAGCAACTCTGCGAGACTTGCTTCAAAAATGGAAAGTTGAGTGCACAGCTTGTCTCTTGTATTGTGCCTGCCACGCGAAACGACATCTGAACGTCTAAAAGTGGTCCGAACATGTAGTGTTTTTAGCATTTTGACCTCGAAATGTGCTTCGCGCCACAATGGCGTACACTTCTTCGACATCACAACTTTCAAGAGTACTCCGAACATGGTGTGTATGATACATTTTGATTTGGAAATGTGCTTCGCGCCACAATGGCCTGCACTTTTTCGTCATATCAACTTCCAAAAGTGGTCCGAACCTGGTGTGTTTTGTACATTTTGGCGTCACAACGGCGCGCACTTTTTCGACATCACAACTTCCAAAAGTGGTCCGATGTTGGTGTGTTTTGTACATTTTGACTTAGAAATGTGCTTCGCGCCACAACCGTGTGCAATTTTTCATCTCTCATCTGGCCAGCTGGCTCCACACCCGCCGCTTTAGCGAGCCTACTTTTCGAACATTGGAAAAACACTGTGTTTCGCGACTTTCTTACCTTTTCGCGCACCTCGATCTTCTTTCTCCTGACTCTTTCTCTTCTCTGATCTTCTCTCTTCTTCTCTTCTCTTCTCTGACTTTTCCCATCCCTGCTTTTCATCTGTCCATGTTGTCGGAAGTTTGACTTCTAAACGTCCTTGGACACATGCAACTATACCACGCTAGAGTAAAACTGCACTACACGACACGACACGACACTACACCACACTACACTACACAACGCCACACTACACTACACCACACTACACTACACCTACACTACAAATACACTACAACGAAAACTACAGCTACAACCACAGCTACCACTACAACTACAACTGCATTGCAGCAACAACAACAACAGCAACAGCAACAGCAACAACAACAACATCAACATCAACAACAACAACAACAGCAACATCAACAGCAACAGCAACAACAGCAACAACAGCAACAACAAGAAAAATAACAAGAACAAAAACAAAAACAACAACAACAACACCAACACCAACACCAACAACACCAACAGCAACAGCAACAGCAACAGCAACAGCAACAACAACAACAACAACAACAACAATTGTTACAATTACAATGACAATTGCAATTACATCTACAACTACACTACACGACACTAGAGATAGATAGACATATCAGTAGACAGAGGGAAAGATAGAGAGACACAGAGAGAAGGTGACAGAGAGAGTTTGTGAGAGAGAGAGAGAGAGGGAGAGCGAGAGAGAGATGAGAGAGACTCAGAGCCTCAGTGTGGTTCAGGTGACCACTGCAACCACTCCAAAAGCACAACTCCAACCACCTTGCGATCCATCAGTGGGCTCGCTCTGCCATCCATGCATCACAAAAAATTCACCTCTCCTATAGTTATTCCTATCTTTGAAACTTCCGCCATCACCTTGTGCGGTACTGCTGGTAAATTTTCCATCATCCAACCCTAGGAATTAGGATTGCTTGGGACATCTTTTTTGAGATATTGTTGGAGAGATTCAATCATTGGTCCCCATCATAAAACCACCCCTGAAAATGCAACTTCAAAATGAACAAATCATGACAAATCCGACAAACCCACTGTTAAACCAAAGTTTCAATAGGGGTGTTGGATAAGAAAAGAACATCAAAGAACCAAGTCAAGTCCACCGTAATTTGATGTGTCAATAACACAGAACGACGCTGAACGGCCACCATCCCTGGTTTCCTGGCCAAGGTTTTCCTCACCCAAATTCACCGTCATAATAATCTATATAGTTCAAATGCCTCCAGCCTACAGCGCCACACAAACATGAACCAATGGCTTCCCATGGCCAAGCTGTCTTGGTTTGGGTCTGTGCTTTGGATTCTTGGGGCCCATCAGGTCCTTTGAGAGCACCTATCAGCTACCATCACGGATGCAATGGACGTGAGTCGCCGAAACAATGTTTACTGCCAATATTACCCAATATTAAATATCAAAGAAACAGAAACATTAACAAAGATGCTTGGCAGGATATGCTTTAAGAAATCAACCTACCAAGGATTCTCCACGTTTTAAACATCAATCCGTATAAACACATGAAGATGATCTTCCGGGTATCTGGCTTCCTCGACTGATTTAAGTTGAAAAGGCATATTGGTCACATGGAAAAAGTATATGGAAAGCCAGCCATCTTCACCTTGAAACGACGAGGCCGGGTCGTGATGGGATTAACGGCTGCGGGAAAGACGACAAATAGGGGTATGGATGGGTAATTATGGGTCATGAAACGCACCATATTTCAGTGATGTTTTCGCGACGTGTTTCAGTTTGCACCAGTTTTGTACCTATGTGGTACTGACTTGACCCGCAGGGACGCACTAAGGTGTCCACTCCACGTTGGAACCGGATTGCCGGGGTCCACCAGCAGAGTCCTGTCAACCCAGTAATAAGAAATCTTGGTCAATTGATTTGAGGACTCAAAGGCCACAAAGAGTCACCAAAAGTGATACTACATTGTGCTGACTTGGAACACTCCCTTCTGACTTCATCCTGCCTGGCAGTTTGTTTGACATGAATTGGAACGGAGCCCCGTGGTCCCCAAGGTCTCCGGCCATGATGGTGAATTACGCCTTAAGATGAGGTACGGCTGTATCACTGGCTCAAACCTCCATCTTTAATGACAGAGATGGGATCCCTAAGAGAATAGATTCCAGTACTAACTCAGGATTTCCCGAATGGTGGGTACTTCATTAAAACGGGCATTGAAGGGACACGATCGGAAAATCTCACCAGCTTGGATGCCTACTTACTATCCCAATTCGATTGATGAGTTACAATGTGGTAAACTGATTGACATCGATCTTCAATTGAGGACGGTTGAAACTCCAGTCGTTTCTGGTCAGTAATTCAGCCTGGCCTACAAATTCTGCGGGTTTACCACAAGAAGGAGAAAAAAGACATCAGCCACCGCCGGCCGCCGGCTTCCATTTCCGAATCCTGATTCATCACGTTTCATCCCTCTCATATTGGAAGCCTCAGCTAACTTTAAACAAAAACATATCTCAGATTCTAAGATGTTTCTTCTCCTCATCTTTCAACTCTTCCATTTTGATCTCCAAACAGTCCAAAGCCCCGGCCAGATGGGTCAGCCATGCGCCCCATCCACTGCATCCACACCGCCCCATCCTCCGCTGCAGCCGCGCCGAGGCCGAGGCCAAGCGGTCGCGCTCCGTGGAGCCGTGCGACTGCGCGCCGCTGAGCTGCCGCGTGGAGCTGCGGGACCCGCTCGCGCCGCTCGAGGCGGCCGAGGCGTTGTCGCCGTCCTCCAAGGCCCTGGGCACCGGAGGCGTCCGTTGTAACGGTGGTTTTAACGCTTGGGGAAAAGATGGGAAAAGGAGGAACAGGATGGTATATGTATGGGAAATTGTGTTGATGAATTGCTCTCTGTCTTTTTTGGTGGGAAGATTTGATTTAGTTCTATTGCAAAGGAAAGAAAGCGGGCGAACAACTGGTATGTCAACCTTGAATGAATGTTGATGACTTGCGGGGGTGCCTCCAATTGAACAAGCCGGGCTCTGCTGGGGTTTCCTACTCCAAAACTGACATGGCTTGTTGCTGCTATCATTATCATTCATTATACGCCAAATACTTCCCAAGTTGGGAACATCCTTCCAGGATTGGATGGAAAATATAGGTGAACATGTCAAATTGTCCGAGAGTCTGGGAACCGGTAAGGATAAGATTCCAAAAACCATACAAGAAATACTTCAGGATATTCAGGGATTGAATACTATAGAGGGTAACTTGCTGTATCTCTTTCCTCTCTTGTTCGGTCTCATCAATTGGTGTTCGTGCTTCTAAGGAACCGCAAAAAACGAACATGTGCAAATACCAGCCAGGTGGTTCATTGGTGACAGTCGCAGTAGATAGATGTGCTGTAGCCCGCTGAATTTCCACCATGTTTGGTGGGCACAAATTTTTGTTTGATTGATTTAACCCCGGTTTGTTTGTTGAATTCCATTTTGGGTGGTGGACATCCAACAACGAGGCCTACTAGGCTGCTTCATGGCGGTAGCTGGGCCGCTCAGCGAGGGAAGTCCTGCGTTGGAAATTTGGAGAAGTCATCCTGCCAGGATATACGGGGAATGTTTCTTAGAAACATTGTATTGGGATAGTGGGATGCAAACTATAAAACTAATTCATTACCAACTATATATATAAATATAATATGATATAAATATATAACATGTAAATTTATATATATATATATATACATCTTTTATATATATATATGTATATTGATTGGCCTGCCACCTGACGATGGGGCTCCATGGGTAGGGGGCCCCTACCCACCAGTCATGCCAGTTTAATATATGCTAAAAGGGCAAATGATGATTGACATCGATTAGTCAATGTATATATATTAACCAGCGGATAGATTCAGGCACCTTGTTTTTACACAAACCTGCATGATGACTTACATAGACCAAATCATTTTGATTTGTCAAATTAGTTGCTGAAAATCAAGTTGTTGCTGAAGCAAATCCCAAACTCTGGGTGGCCAAGAAAACGTCGATGTGGTTGGAGAAAAACGAAAGACGTGTTTGTGTCTTACATGCCTGCAAACTTCTTGGGGCAACAATCGGCTCATCCGCCCCCCACTGGTCGTGCATGTGACGTGATGCCGCGGGGTGGCTTTAGTGTGGCAGCTGCTGAAATGTTGGAGCGAGCACAAGCCTTGCTGCAGCAAGCTCTGCCGAAGTGGGAGGCATTTTGAATGTTCGGGGAAGTCTATTTCATCAGCGGATGAATATGGATAAGCATTCATCTGTGCAAAGAATAATGCTTCCCAAACATTCCTAAGATAGAAATTAACTATTTCGGGGACTGTCGGGGATGATATCCCGCCCTATCCTTCCTGATGAATGTAATATCATCATATATCATCAATATCAGGGCGTTGTCAGGTCGCTGGATTTGCCCAGATTCAGGCACCCCGCAAGTGGAGTGTGTGGAAAGGAAAGAAACTGCTGGTGACTAAACCAACTTGCAGCAGCATGGCTGGCAACTGAAACACTGGATGGAAAGCTTCCAGAAGTTTTTCCCTTGCCGTAGCTGATCTCAAGTAATCCCTCCAACAAGTTATGCAGGTTTTCTGACTAGGATTTCAGCACAAATTAAACATGCCTTCATAAAAACGACTGCGCATACACATACCCTCCGGTAATCAAACTTGGCAATGAACAATCCCTTATTTATAGATGATTTTCCCATGACAAACTCCATTTAGAAGGGATTTCCCTGCGCTAGGCCACCGAACCAGAGATGCAGCCACCAGTTCATGCTGCTCCTCTGCTGCGGCCCAGCAAACATATGGAGTTAGCTGGGGTGATCAGCCGATTTTTTTTTGGACTGCACAGTGGCTGTCACGCCCCCTGTGTCCACTACTTGGATGTGCATCTCCATTGCCAAGTGTGTAACATGAACGATTTCACTTATACATGGGATATACCATGACATACCCCACTAATATATGTGGGCCATTATCCACCTACATCCGTTGACGAGGCGAGATGCACCCGCAAACTATTCTCCGGTAGCCCAAGAAAAATGGAAAACATACTCCAATGCCCATTTGTATAAATATTATTTATTTTTTTAAACGGAAGTTTTGCATAGCCGTGTAAATGACTGCCAAAGGGGCCAACTTTTCGGCCTGGACCACACGGAGATTCTCTTCTTGTGCTGGGACCTGCTCCTCCTGCACTGCGGAGATGGTTTTTTAAATGCACCATGGCCACATGGCATATACGGATCATTCCCACAATGGGGATCCTTGTCATTGGCATATTTAACCCTGTTAAAGGGGAGATGGACATCCCCTTGTATGTGAAAATACCCCATGTTGTGACCATAGTCTATGGATTTGACTGAACATAGGGTATACCCCCCAACCAAACAAAATATGTTTTTCATTGGGAAAATGTTTAACCATTGGATTTTTGCGCGCCCTATTTTTTGGACGCAAACCCTACATTGTGCTGGGAACTAACAAATCATGTTTTAACAAAACAACATCCAATTTTTGCAAAAAAACAAAAACACAAACTGCGCCAACATGTTTTGTATATAATATATAGGTTTGTTTTTGCTCACGACGCCCCTACCGGCCCTGGGGAATATGACACTTTTTGCTGTGGTGTCGCCCTATTGCCCGTTAGTTAGAAGTATTGCCCGTTAGTTAGAACTTGTGCACGAAGGATAGTGTGTTTGTTTTGGGGAACCGGGTGGGGTGGGGGGGGGTGGGGGGGGCAAGGGGTACGCTGCAACATGCCAGACGCTCTTGATGCTACGCTGCAACATGTCTCTTGTCTCTTGCCAGACGTTCTTGATGCTACGCTGCGACATGTCTCTTGTCACTTGCCAGACGTTCTGAATGCTACGCTGCAACATGCCTCTTGTTACTTGCCAGACGCTCTTGATGCTACGCTGCAACATGTCTCTCGTCTCTTGCCAAGACGTTCTTGATGCTACGCTGCAACATGTCGCTCTTGATGCTACGCTGCAACATGTCTCTTGTCTCTTGCCAGACGTTCTTGATGCTACGCTGCAACATGTCTCTCGTCTCTTGCCAGACGCTCTTGATGCTACGCTGCAACATGCCTTTTGTCTCTTGCCAGACGTTCTTGATGCTACGCTGCAGCATGTCTCTTGTCACTTGCCAGACGCTCTTGATGCTACGCTGCAACATGTCTCTTGTCTCTTGCCAGACGAAAATGGTTTCAGGTCAATCATGTCAAAATGGAATTTACGCGTAAAATGCGTAAACGGGGACACAAGACGCATGGCACGCAGTGCATTGACAAGAAATGGTCAGCCTTGAAACGGTATATCCCAAAGGAACTGTGTTCTAAGACGCCCAATGGACTGCTGAATGAAAAAATTGCCGACTATGTGTACAGTTTTGTCTGGCGATCCAATACACTTGGAAAGCACCAGCTCAAAGGCTTGGGAAAGATAGCGCACAAGACTTGGACTGCCTGAGCTGTTCTCCATGTCGCATGTCGTATGTCTACACGCTTGTTACGAAACATTCCATTTTTTTTGCGTTTAGGAATTCAAATTCATGATTAAACGCATTGGAAATACGACTTAACAGACACAAAACACTGTAAAACGCAGACCAAAATGAGCTACTGAAAAAATGGGCACACAAAGAAAACGCTGTGAGGGTCATGCGACACAGAAAAATCTGCGACTGAAAAGGTGAAAAAACAGCAGGGCCGTTACAGGCGGCGTGACCTTGTTTTTTTGTTTGTTTCGTGTTTTATCTCGGGAAACTCGGGGATCCCAGATTTTGCATTTCTCACGGGAGAAACATATAAACAAATAGCGACAAAGTGTTTCGCATATGTTGGTTCTTGTTTGTTTTTTCATTTTTTGTTGGGAGATGCGTAGACTTGGGATTCCTGAGTCTCCAAACAAAAACAAAACGCGAATATACAAAGCACTCTGGAGCAATGCCTTGTATTTTTTGCGTGTGTTTGTCTTGGTGTTGTTGTTGTTGTTGTTGTTGTTGGTGTTGTTGTTGCTGTCGTGACATTCAAGATGCTCATAATGACTGCATGCCGTTCGCATTTGAATCATTTTTTGGACCAATCCATATGTGCATGTTCATCATTTTCCAATATACATATATATATATATATTATAAATAAAATACGTATATGCAAATGAAAGACCATGAAAGACTCACCAATCACCTGTAAGAGGTTTTGATGGGTTTCGAGCCACCAACATCTCCCAACAACTATCTTGATCCAGGGTTGCATCGTCCTGCTCAAACATCAAAGTGCACACCTTCAAGTCACTCAAGCTGCCACGCAGCTGTATAGCCACGTTGTGCAAATTTTGTTCCGTTAAGAATACGCCCTCACAACAAAATCAAAGCAATCGAAGAACCATTTTGCACAGACACACGCGTATACAAACAGAATTCAAATAAAGACACACACGTATATAATACCGAAATAAACAAGTATATACACAGATACTTACATGCATATGTAAACTTAAAAAATAAATACACATAAAGTTGAATATACACTTAAATACATTTTTCAAAAGTTTGTCATATACTTCTACATTCTTCAACAAATGTGTACACACACATAAATAAATATATATGTATATATATAAATATTTATTTGTTTATTTAGAGAACAACGCATATATATATACGCACATAAAGTTAATATATAGAAACATAATTATATATTAAACATATATATATATTAAAAAAATATAAACGATTGCTTGAGTGTTTATAAATATATGTGCGTGTACTCGTGTATACACATATTTAAAATCCATTATGACTGACCATGCACATATGCATATATACTTGTTGTTTTGTGATATTTGAATATGTGCCTGTAAACAAAAAACAATGCGTCTGTAGGCATATTTTGATAAAGGAACACCTTTACCGAGGTTTTACCCCTTCTTCACCCATGCCTTCTTACAGGCCCCAGACAGCAGATCTCCTGCTTTTGCAATTTTGCTTCGAGGGCCTTGGCACTCGTCCAATGTTCCGCCCATTCGCGTTGAAGCGCCTGTTGCTCCGAGGTCATGCCTTGGCTGGGATACCTTGCAATGGAGGAAATGGTGGTGCCTCGAAAGCCCAAAATGGTACTTCCCTTTTGAGGGAGGCGTGCCAATGAACGGATTGATTTGAGAGGATCAGCTCGGCATGGCATTGATTTTATTCCGGGTAGACCATACCCAACGTATAGTTGCTATGGGCCTGGACCTTACAAGTGTTTCCTTGTGTCCGCAAGAACAAAATCCGTGCGCCCACAAAAGTAAACCTGTGATTCCACGTGACGTTTGTGTGGCTAATATCTATATATAATTATATATATATATATATATATTATATGTGTGCCTGTGTGTCCATATGTGCTAATGAGTGTCTACATGGTGATTATGTATATATATATATAAAGAAAACACCGGTTGATGATATACACTTGCAACTGTCATGTATAAACCCACCTGGTGATGCCAAGTGGCGAGTGATGATCTGCAAAAGATCCGTTTTTTTCTTCATCAACCTGGCTCGTTCCCCCATCAGGGACAATTCACGGTCATCATTTCCAGTTGGTATCGGTGGGTTGGGTCATTTATTGGAAAACATACGCTTGAAATTACTTTACTTCGTGTGATCCCCGCTCGTCATAGAACATATATTCTGCCATATATTTCTTTATTAGTTTTTTGCTGTTTTTCTAACATATTATCTAACTTCTTGCATGCTACGTGACATCTTCTCTGACGTTCTACCTGGCACTGTTCCTGGCATTCTATCTGGCAGATATTATGATGTTTTACAAATAATATTCGGCATTCCTATCTGACATATATTCTGGCATTCCGTCTGACATTTCTGTCCGAAATGTTAATTTTGTTTGAATTTATTATTTATTTGTGCATATATTCTGGCATTCTATCTTGCATATACTCTGACATTCTATCCAGCATTGCAGCTGACACTCCATCTGGCGCTTGATCTGACAAACTATCTGGCATTCTGCCTGGCATTGATTCTATCTAACATGTTTCATGTATTGTGCCATTTTTCCCGGCATTCCATCTGCAACTCCCACTCCCACCTGATATAATTATTCTCAATCTTTTCCGACAATCTGGGAATCTATTTGGATTCCTATCTGACATACGATCTGACATTCTATCATATTCTATCCTGCATTCTCTCTGGCACCTTATCTGACATTCTTTCCGGCATTCTATCTGGCAAAAGGATCGCTCCAGCAAGCCTCTAGGACTTGTGGGTGTGTGGGTGTGTGGGTGTGTGGGTGTGGGTGTGGGTGTACGTGTGTGTGTGTGTGCGTGTGTGTGCGCGTGCGTGTGCGTGTGCGCGTGCGCGTGCGCGTGCGCGTGCGCGTGCGTGGGTGGGTGGGTGGGTGGGCGGGGTGGGGGTGGGGGTGTGGGTGTGGGTGTGGTGTGGGTGTGGGTGTGTGTGTTGTGTGGGTGTGTGTGTGTGTGTGTGTGTGGGTGGGTGTGTGTGTGTGTGTGCGTGCGTGGGTGTGTGTGTGTGTGGGTGTGTGTGTGTGTGCGCGCGTGTGCGTGTTTGTGTGTGCGTGCGTGCGTGCGTGCGTCTGGTGTCTGGTGTGCGGTGTGCGGTGTGCGGTGTGCGGTGTGCGTGCGGTGTGGTGCCACGGGTGTGGGTGTGGGTGCGGCTGTGGGTGCATGTGTGTGTAGGTGTGTGGGTGTGTGCGTGCGTGCGTGCGTGTGTGTGTGTGCGCGTGTGTTTGTGTGTGTGTGTGTGAAACCTGCTAGGTATATCACGCAGGAAAGAATCATTCAAAAAAATCAGAAATCTTTTAGAAGTCAGCAGGGGGTGATAGCAGGGTCCAGAGTCTACCACCAACGAAGATGCTCTGGTGTCCCTTTCCCTGGTGACACACCGTGATACATGGCCTTATCAGCCATGCGTAGGTGCAAGACTGCTGTGATCACCGGCAGCTAATTTGAGCCTAAGTGTCAAGTTTGTGTGCAAAGCTTTGCTTGATTCATGTTTTACTGTCAGAATGGATTCTTAGGTAACATTCAGGCAACAACTATTTCAACTTTCTACAGGGTCCACTTCAGGAGTAAGTTACTTACCGTCAGCATTGTGAGCGGGCACCGTCTCACTGACTTGTGAATGCCGTCTGTGCGCTCTGTGGTCTCCTGGGCATCGGCAATTCCCCCAGCTCCTGTCAAATTGATGAGTGGGACCTCAAGTCTCATGTCCATGGGTTCAAGATCCCAGATGGGCGCCTTTGCAGCGGCGTTCGAAAGTCTTTCATCGCCGAGAATTTCCCTGCGCCCCTTGGGTCGATGAAGTTGTTGTGAGGTCCCGCAATACCTCGGAATTATGACGGGAATTATACAGTAGTGCCCGGAATTGGCTTCGTGCCGCAGTATATGAATTAATTTTGAGCATTGGAGAAAGTCACAAAGCTGGCATATGTCAAATAGACCAGGAAATTTCCACGAGTGAGAAGCAGAAAACCGATGATTGCAACTTGGCACAGCCCCCCTCCCCTCTCTTGGTGCAACCCTGGATACTTGGGTCTAGCTGGGTGCACCTTCCCTCTTCTCCCTGGTGGGTCCATGAATGCAGCATTCCTCCTCTTTCTTCCCGCTCTTCCCTTCTCTCTCCCCTTGCCGCACCCTCAGGAGTGTGTTTGTCCTTCCCTTTGCTGTCCTGCTTTAGTTAAGTTGTCTCCCTGCCGTGTTTTTGCTTTGTTGCTTGTTCTGCTTTGCGCCCGTGCTCTTCTGCCTGCCAGGGCCTCCTTGCCCCCTTTTCCTTCCTTTGTTCTGCCTGCTTTTGTTGTGTGCTCCCCTTGCCTGTTCTCTGCCCTTGTGGTTTTCCTCTCGTTAATCCGTTGCTTTGTTGTGGCTGGCTGTCCTTGTTCCCTTCCTCCTTTCCCCCCCCAGCTTATGCGTGTGTGTGAAAACGTTTTGGCCTTCTTCATTGCAGATTTCCCAGATACAAGATTTGCTTGCAACTTCTTGTCAGACGAAACAGCTGTAGTTTGACCACTGGATCAAAGAACAGATCATCAAATTGGTTGGATCATGCCATCCACGGATTGACGCTTCAGAGACCTATTCTTTTCTTGCCATGATGCAGTGTGAAAAGGTGTGAAAATGTACATTTGTTACATTTCGCCCTTGTTTTAAGCTGTGTGTGTGTGTGAAACCCGCTAGGTATATCATGCAGGAAAGAATCATTCCATTTTTTGAGAAATCTTTTTAGAAGTCAGCAGGGGGTGATAGCAGGGTCCAGAGTCTACCACCAACGAAGACGCTCTGGCGTCCCTTTCCGAGGCTGGTCTGTCAAGTTTGAGTGCAAAGCTTTGCTTGATTCATGTTTTACTGTCAGAATGGATTCTTAGGTAACATTCAGGCAACAACTATTTCAACTTTCTAAAGCTCCACTTCAGAGTAAGTTACTTACTGTCAGGATTGTGTGCGGGCACCGTGTGTGTGCGTGTGTGCGTGTGTCTGTGTGTCTGTGTTTCTGTGTGTCTGTTTGTCTGTGCGTGTCTATGTGTGTCTCTGTGTGTGTGTATGTCCGTGCGTGGGGGTCCAGCGGGAAGTCTGATCAAAATCTAGAGGCCCTCACCTGGCAGGTGGGGAATCATTAGCTTCTATCTACCATTGAAGACATCTCTTCATCCAGCTGTGGGACAATATGAAATCTCCATGGCTCCAAATTTGGATCCAAATTCACCTTGCTCTTAAGATGTCAGCATGCATTTTTGATGGTGTTTGAAGAATAGAATCTTGAGTCCCCTTCCCAAAAGCCCCCTAGAGGAGATACTGGTAATTATAAGATTAGAGAGCCGTGCTGGCCACGCTGCCCTACTTCCGTTCTTCTATAGTCAGCGTTTAAAACTGTAATTAGTTTGCGTGGCCTTCTGCAGATTGCTCCTCTGTCAAACCGAGGCACGTTTCCAGTTCGGAACGTCAACACTGTCACTGCGTTGGTGGCGGAAACTATGACCCCTGGAACCCAGGGACTTGAAAAATACATCCTCATGAAAATCCATAGAAAGTGGAAAGTGGGCCAGACAAAACAATATACAAATGATGTATTTTTGATGGTCCCGGACCTCAAAAAGAACCTGCTATAAGGTCCTTTAGATATACCTTTTGAGGTGCCAGGCCAAAAAAGAAAAAATGTTATAACATCCTTTGGATGTACTGTAGCTTTTGAATTCCGAAAAAGGAACATTGCTATAACATCCTTGATCGTGAGGAATCGCGCAGGACCCTACAAGAACAGTCCTAAAGGGGTCTAAAAGGTACGTAAAGGCCCTCACATGTACACATTGGCGAAAAACAATAAACTGTGAGAAACCATAAGCAATCGCGAGTGGATCCTGAGTTTGCTATAAACCCTCGGCCATTGAACCCAATAACATTGCTACGAACACTCGGCCGTAAACACAGCATTGCTATGGTTTCTCGGCGAGGACCCGTTTTTTTGCGCCACTTGTCCTAATTGGTTTAGTACGGCCTTAGGACATACGCGATGCCGAAGTTGTAGAAAATGCATGTATTCAGGGATTCAGGGGAACAGGATTAGAGACCTTTACCATTTCAGAGCCCGACGTCTAGCCACTACACAATGCAGGTAAGTTGGTTTACATAGGGGGGCTTAAACCCTGTGGATATACCCTATAAGGTGGGATGTAGCGCCTATAACTATGGTGAAATATCACCAAGTCAAATTAGTGGAAGTGCACCCCCAAGTGCTTCCAGCTTAATCTGGGACCTTGCCAAAGGCCCAAAGAACTTTGGCAGTGAGCAGCTCATGGCCAACCTAGTTAGGTCTCTGAAACAAATATTCTGCAAAAACATATGCCCTCTTAGGCCGTCTGGCTTGTCAATACTTCCTGCAACATACTTAAGCATCCCAAGTCTTTCCAACACGGGCCCACTGCTCCCTTCCCCACCTTTCAGTCTCAATCTGAACTCTCCTCTGGTCCTCATCTGCCACGTTGTCTGTGTGCCAATCCTGGACAGGATGCCTTTTGAGAAACCCAAAGTTGATGAACACTTGGAACATCATTCGTGTGGTCATCCCCAATATTGTACAAACTTTCGGGGGTGTTACCAGCATTAAAATTTTTACTTGGTCTTAGAGTTGGGCTTCCCACGAAAAATCCTGGATGATGAGCCCCCAGGAGTGATTAGACAAAGCATGCAGGGCATCGTATTCATTTCTACAAGTCATGCAGCTTTGCATCACTTTGTAATGATTTTGGAGCTTCCACACAATCCAAGGATATCGGCTTGTCTGCTCCCCACGCTTCATGGTAATTTGTCTTCCCATGCTTTACTACCCATCAATTGGGTGCCCATCCCATCCACCATTGTGGATCAAACCCAACCCCCCTGCGCTAGTTGTCAGGTTGGGACACGCCGCGCGTTGCGTTGGACTTTAAGGCCCCATCGGGCTATGAATACATCCACCATCAATACTACTTGTTGTCTATAGCCATCGAAGGAAGCTTAGAAGTCAAACTTCCGACAGTATGGACAGATGAAAAAGCAGAGGTGGGAAGAGTAAGAGAAGAGAAGTCTCTGAAGAGAAGAGAAGAGAAGAGAAGAGAAGAGAAGAGAAGAGAAGAGCAGAGCAGAGCAGAGCAGAGCAGAGAAGAGAAGAGAAGAGAAGAGAAGAAGAGAAGAGAAGAAGAGAAGAGAAGAGAAGAGAAGAGAAGAGAAGAGAAGAGACGAGACGAGAAGAGAAGAGAAGAGAAGAGAGGAGAGGAGAGGAGAGGAGAAGAGAAGAGAAGAGAAGAGAAGAAAAGAGAAGAGAAGAGAAGAGAAGAGAAGAAAAGAGAAGAGAAGAGAAGAGCAGAGTAGAGAAGAGAAGAGAAGAGAAGAGAAGAAAAGAGAAGAGAAGAGCAGAGTAGAGAAGAAGAAAGAATATCAGAGAAAAAAGAGAGTCAGAAGAGAGAGACAAAGAGAGAGAGAGAGAGAGATAGAGATAGAGATAGAGATAGAGAGAGAGAGAGACAGAGAGAGAGAGAGAGAGACAGAAGATCAAGGTGCGCGAACAGGCGAACAGGTATAAGAGTCGCGAAACACCATATATTTTTCCAATGTTTTGAGGCGCTGGAGGGTCGAAAAGGAGGCTCGCTAAAGTTGCGGGTGCGGAGCCATCTGGCCAGATGACATGAAAAAATTGCACGCCGTCATGGCGTGAAGCAGATGTCGAAGTCAAAATTATGTAAAAAAAAATGATGCTCGAAACTCTTGGAAGTTGCAATGCGGGAAAAGTGCACGGCATTGTGGCGTGAAGCACGTTTCCAAGTAAACATGTTAAAACACACACCACTATCAGAGAACTTTTGGAAGTTGAGGTGTTGAAAAAGTGCACGCAGTTGCGGCGCGAAGCACATTTCCAAGTCAAAATGTACAAAACACACCAGGTCCGGACCACTTTTGGAAGTTGAGATGTTCAAAAAGTGCACGCAGTTGCGGCGCGAAGCACATTTCGAAGTCAAAATGTTCAAAACACACCAGGTTCGGACCACATTTTGGAAGTTGAGATGTCGAAAAAGTGCACGCAGTTGCGGCGCGAAGCACATTTCGAAGTCAAAATGTGCAAAGCACACCGTTCTCGGAGCACTTTTGGACGTTGAAGCGCCGTTTTGTGTGGCAGGCGCACAGGACTTTTGAAGAGGATCTGCAAAGATGCATTTCGCGTGGCAGGCGCAATACAAGAGACATGTTCATCAGAGAATTAGGAGGTCAGCGCGCAGATTTCCTGAGACGGGTTGCATTTTGGAGTATCAGATTTTCAGGTTTGCTAATTAAGATGATTTTGCGTGACAGGTGCAGCACATCGTATGACCTGGCCTCACATGGCTTAGATGGAATGGGAAAAAGGCAAAATGCATTGGCACGAGGCAATCAGCTCTGCACTCAACTTTCCATTTTTGAAGGAAGTCTTGCAGAATTGTTTCGGTTTTGATGTTGCCAACTTCGAAATTAAAGAAGTCTCACAGATTTGCTTCGTTTTTGCCGTTGTCTAGTTCAAAAAATTGAGGACGTCTCGCAGAATTGGTGCGTTTTTGATGTTGTCAAGTTCCAAAATTGACGAAGTCTCGCGGAATAGCTTTGTTTTCAAGCCTGCAGCTAGACAGATAGAAAGAGAGACAGAAAAATTGATAGATAGACAGACAGTTAGAGAGATAACCAGATAGACAGGTAACAGGTAGATAGACAAATAGATAGACAACTAGAACTATGCTACACTACAACTACAGCTGCCACTACAAGTACGACTACCACTACGAATACAACTACAATTACATATGCAGCTACACTACCTAACACTACAGCTACAACTACAACTACGCTACACTACAGCTACTATTACAACTACCACTGCGCTACAGCTACAACCACGACCACAGCTACAATTACAGCTTCAACTTCGACTACACTACAACTACAACTACGCTACAACCACAGCTACAACTACAGCTTCAACTTCAATTTCAGCCGCGCTACAACTACGAGTACAACTCCACTACACTACAACTACAACTACACTACACCACACCTGCAAGCACTCCAAAAACACAACTCTACCTTTCGGTCCATCAGTGGATTTGCTCTGCCATCCATGCATCATAACAACTCACCTCTCCTATGGCGTCCTACCATTGAAACTTCCGCCAGCGTCTTGTGCGGTACTACTGGTAAACGAACTTACCTAGGGGGCCAAATCACCCTGAGCCATCGAGGGATCCCGAGGGCCTTCTGCGGATCCATGATGTCGGCTAACTGCTGCAGCCTCATGGGTTCATGGAGATTCCAACCATCTCGAAATATATTGAGCGTGGATGCGTCTGTGCAAATTCCTGTGTATATGCGTGTTTTTACTTGTATGTAATCACACGGGCTCAAAAATCTGCATCATGTATAGTATAAAATACATGTGTATATATATATCTCTCTCTCTCTCTCTCCGTGTGACTTTCGTTTTTGCCAAACGTGTAATTTGTACATACATATGCACACAAAATAGCCTTCTGGACATGAACAAATGACCTCAAATTTTATTGCCATGGTGCCCAAAGGACACTCATCCTCCTGCTGCAGAGCCCTTGCTGCTTCGCTGACAGAAGTTGTCTTATATGCGATATAGGAGAGAGAGAGAGAGAATAGATAAGAAAGAAAGAAAGACAGACAGATAGATAGACAGATAGACATGATAAACGATAAGTTTAATCCATATGTGTATATTGTTGCATGCGTATACATCGAATATGTCTGGTTGCCCAAGGGAAAATCACCTGACCCGTTGGGCATACCGTTTGCACCCATTTGCCATTATTTAGCCACTAGTTGTCTAACGGATTCCAACGAGGGGCTACCCTCATCTAAGAGGAGAGGATCCAGCACCCCCGTTGCAGAAGTGATCTGAGGCCAAGGGCGTCTCCAAATTTGGTGGAGCTCCAGCCTTGAGAGCAGCCAGATTTTTGTCGAAATCCTGCAGGCCATGGATCTAGTGGAGGTGGTGGCTCTCTGGACTACTGGAGTTATGATTCCTAAAATGGACATATGAACCCCAGTTGTCCATCATTCGAATACGTCGAATACCAGTAATCAAGTAGTTATATATTATATCTTGTTGTGATTGCCAAATGTTGTCAATTAATTTCTGATGTATTGTATTGTAAGCAATCTTTTGGGATGATTCTCTCTGTCCATCACATAGGTTAACCGCTCATCCCTTCCCCGATGTCCGTATTCAGCTGACTTTCTGAAGTCACTTTCAGATTCAACGCTCCCGCCTGAGAGCAGCTGGACCATGGGATTGTATCATATGCTTCAGTAGCAGTGAAAACGGATGACATGGCTATCATAAAGGTTGGCTGATGTGGTCTTTAATCATCAATTCGGTGAGAAGTGACCTATAATATCTTATAATCATGTGCAGCAGGCCTGATAGCAGAACCCCCAAGAAACATGCACATCCTTTCAAATGATGACAGGTGAGATCCGTCTAAATCCTTGCAAACCTCTGCCTATGCATAACATTTCTCAAATCAATCTGATGTATAATATGTCCATAACTAATACCAAGAGCTGGTTCAGCTCCAGAAAAATATACAGCCCCACTTGCCTGATTTGCCCGAGGCCCTATCCCTTCATTGAACACTTGGATTTGCGATCCAGGAACCCCAAAAATTAAACATGTTCCCTTTTGATCCCTAAGTAGTGGATTTTCCACTTTTTTTGCCGGGGCTTCTCAGAGGTTTTGCCCCAACAGCCAGCCCAGCACGTTCGCTCTGGGCAAAAGCTGCAAAGGTTGCATGGTGCTAAAATGGTTGTCTATATAGTGTCCAAAATTATGTCACGTATGTGAGACAATATCGGAGACTACGGTGTTGGCACTCACTTGCTGTCAGCGGAAACAATTGGTACCACGATGCATGGTGGGATTGTTGCAATGTCTGCTGTATTGAAGGGAAAACCAAAAATCATCAGCAAATCCAAGAACACCACTGAAACTGGGGAAGTGACTTTTTGAATTCGTTGGTTCAGCTCTGCCGTCTCATTTTGGAGCCTAGTAGCGAGGCAACTAGGCATGTTGGGCACTCGAAGTTGGGCAGGTACACTTGAAATCTACCAAAGTAGTGGTAATCAATGAATTGGTTAAACGGAAATTTACAGGAAAACCCCATATTTAATGGGAAAAACTATTTTTTCCTGTAGGCTTTCCCTTCAAACAATCCATTGAGGTAAAGTACTGGTATGTCTTTCCGGAGCAGGCTATAGATGTATATTTGTATGTATCTGCGCTTGTCCCAAACATGGGGGATTACCTCGTAATGGTCATGTATACATCAGGAAAAATAGCAAGTATTTTCAAACAACGCCATCTGCAAAGGGCGCCAGGTTCCGATGCTGATAAAAACTTCTTGGAATGGGACACCATTGTGGCCCCATGGAAAGTCCACGAGTAAATCCCATCCCCCTAAACATACTAAATACATCTAAATACCACCAAACCATGAATACCCTCCGGTAACTAACATGGTTTGCTGGAAAAAACAATTTAGTTCGATGATGTTCCCAGCTACAAACCTCCATTTATCTCCATTTAGTTCAGGGAATTCCGTGATGGCTTCTGTATCCCCACCATCTTCCAGTCTTTGGGGTAGCTATGCAGTGATCTGCACCAAATCCGTACCATGAAAAGATCCTCCAACATGGTGCAATGGTTGTATAAATCTTAGGGATACCCTGTTTGAGTGGCACTTTAACATGGTGAAAATCACGTAACTTTTCCATACTCTTAGTGGCAAAATATACCAAAATATGACTCATAGTGATCTATCAATGGATGATTTCCCATCTCCAGGCATAAAGGCACAACATTTCACCTCCCCTTCCATTGACCGGCCTGAGCAAGGTCTCGGTGCTTGGGGTTTCTAACTCCTTGCCATGATCCTGGAGAAAAACGACCACTGGGTCGACCACCAAATAGCGATTCAACTGATGTGGCTAGAGCAATGCCACAAACCACCCATGACTGGGAATGGTTTGTACGACCTATAAGAATGATGATTTGGGGGATGGTTTATTATTGTGTTACCCACATTATACCATTTATACAGACTGTGAGATGAAACTTGGCATTGTTCTCCGCAAACAATTGCTTTCTCTACCGGTGCGTTCATATATTCAACAGACATGTCCCTAACTTGTGCTCTTCTCCGATAACCTTGCATGGCCTTAGGAACCCATGGAAACATCAAAACGCAACATCTCCACCAAACGCAGAGAACATAACCGTGGAACCACAAACAAAGTTCCCCAGAACCCCTGGTTCACCAGTGTTTTTCAAGCCACCTGGGGTGATAGAATTTCACGGATATCCGAAAAAGGATGCATACCCAGATTGAGTAACAAATACGATCCTTGTATTAAGGGGACCCTATGACCATCTATGACCTCATCCTCTTCAAACCTGGAAGACCTGGTTGATAGTGGAGAAACATTTTATTGGGGAAATTAATGGCAAACATTGGCAAACCACAAGGGTCGCAGAAACGTTTGGGGCATTGGGATGCTTGGATGCATTCCGTGCATCCTTGTAAAAACTATTGGGGATAGTGATGATAAACCATGATAAACCACTACAGTAGATGCTTGGAGTTTCACCCTAATTTTTCAGGCAAACATGTTACTCTGCCTCCCAGGTATAATGCAAATCATCCCTCTCCCGCATGGGCTCCTCTCCCCCTTCCCTGCTGGCCCACCAGCACGGGTCCTCCATGCGTTTTGCCAGAAGGCCCGGGCCATGTTTCGTCTCAACGTCTTGACCTGTCGCGCTTGTATGGGAGTATCTGACAGCCTCCCTCCTGATTGATCGTCAAGGCATCCACACGTATACTTCATCTCAAAGTACTTACTATACTGTCATAGGTTCAAGTGTGGATAATAATGAACAAACCATTGCGCATACTCATTTTAATGTTGTACCCTGTCTGTTAGCCAATGATGTTTGCCACAGCCATACACTTGCCCGCTCTTCTTCACGTGGCCGAGGAACGCTTCTTCTTTAGAAAGTGTGTCATCTCATCCGTCAACGGGACCTTACCATCCTCGCCCTTCATTCGGCCTGTGAGGTTCGCGACTTGGTGGCTGAAGTGGGCAACCTCCACCACTGCCCAATTATCATCTCTCCAACTATCAACACCCGTTTGAGGAGGAAGGCAGTCTGTCAATGCCCTAGCTAGGGCAGGGTCTGTGTTAGTTAAGAGATGTTGGGGGGATGTTTGGGGGATGGTAGATCATTTAGGTAGGGATTGATCTAGAGCCTCTGGTAACCCCTATGGCACATGTCGGGAAAATCACCGATACCAGATCAATGAGGATGATATGTGTCCAGCCATACATTTGGCCAGCGGCAGGATGACCGACAGTCCGGTGACTATTTTGATGTGGAAGACCATTCAAAAGATCTACCTTTCTAGTCTGGTGCTTGAGACACCCCAAGTATTGGAAGTATTGAAAACACTTGGAAAGAACCATCAAACATCCTTAGGATGCGATGGACGCCACAGGATTCCCGGATGGATGAGGCGCTTCAGCACACAGTACTCAATGGCGTCCAGGGAGACGCCATTGTTTTTTGTCTCTAGTCACACCTTGCAGTAAATGCCTGGAAAGTGGTATCGTGTTGGTGATCCCCTAGTATTGAGATTGGGTATGGATTTAGCAGATTCTATGATTGAGATTGATTGAGTTAGATTCAGTTTATAAATCAGCATCGTTCCCTAAGATGATGAGCCATCTGAAAAAGTGCGCAAATGGCCGGTGCAGGGTGCGCCTTTCACAAAACCAATGGTCTCAAAGATCATGTCCTGAAGCCATGGACAGAACTCCGGGATCTTTTTGGAGCATCTTGGATAAACTGCAAAACATAGACATACTGTATATATATATATTTAAATATATATTTTTCTTATTTATTTATTTATTTATTTATATATATATATATATTTATTATATATATATATATTTAATACATATATATATATATATGTGTGTGTGTGTGTAAACAATATTACCTAAGGAAGTTTAGAAGTCAAACTTCTGACAATATGGACAGATGAAAAGCAGAGGTGGAGCAGAAGAATAGAGAAGAGAAGAGCGGAAGAGAGAAGATCAGAGAAGAGAAAGAGTCAGAAGAAAGAAGATACAGCTGCGCGAAAAGGTAGGAGAGTCGCGAAACACTATGTTTTTCCAATGATTTGTGGCCCCAGAGGGTCGAAAAGTAGGCTCGCTAAAGCGGCGGGTGCGGAGCCATCTGGCCAGATGAGAGATGAAAAATTGCACGCCGTTGTGGCGCGAAGCACATTTCCAAGTCAAAATGTACAAAACACACCAGGTCCGGACCACTTTTGGAAGTTGCGATGTCGAAAAAGTGCACGCTGTTGTGGCGCAAAGCACATTTGCAAGTTAAAAAACTAAAAACACCTCACGTTCGGACCACTTTTGGAAGTTGAGATGTCTAAAAAGTGCACAACATTGTGGCGTGAAGCACATTTGTAAGATTTTGTAAGTAAAACAAGCTAAAAACACCTCACGTTCGGACCACTTTTCGAAGTTGCGATATCGAAAAAGTGCACGCCGTTGTGGCGCGAAGCACATTTGCAAGTGAAAAAGCTACAAACACCTCACGTTCGGACCACTTTTGGAAGTTGAGATGTCGAAAAAGTGCACGCTGTTGTGGTGCGAAGCATATTTCGAAGTCAAAATGTACAAAACACACCATGTTCGGACCACTTTTAGAAGTTGCGATGTCGAAAAAGTGCACGCCATTGTGGCGCGAAGCACATTTCGAAGTCAAAATGTTAAAACACCAGGGGTTCGGACCACTTTTGGACGTTCAGATGTGCTTTCGCGTGGCAGGCGCAAGGGATTGTGGACCTTGTCAAAAAGTGAGCAAAACGTGAGGGTTTTGTAGCATTTCCAAAAACGATGGCAGGCGTATGCAGGCGTGGGACATTTGAAGAGGATCTGCAAAGATGCATTTTCCGGAGAAGGCGCAGTACAAGACACTTGTTTATCAGAGATGTTAGGAGGTCCGGGCGCTGATTTCTTGAGAAGGGCTGCATTTTGGAGCATCAGATCTTCAGGATTGCTGAGATGATTTTGCATGACAGGTGCAGCACTTCGTATGACCCGGTGGCACTTTTTCGTGGCAAGCGCAGCAGTTTAGACAGCTGGAGTCGAAAAATCGAGACAACGCATTGGTACGAGGCCGTCAGCTCTGCACTCAACTTTCCATTTTTGAAGGACATCTCACCGAATTGCTTCGTTTTTGATGGTGTCAACGTAAAAAAATGAGGAAGTCTCGCAGAATTGCTTCGTTTTTGATGTTGTCAAGTGCAAAAATTGAGGAAGTCTCGCTGCATTGCTGCGTGTTTGATGTTGTCATTGTCAAGTTCAAAAACTGAGGAAGTCTCGCAGAATAGCTTCGTTTTCAAGCTTGCAAATAGATAGACAGATAGACAGACAGACAGACAGAGAGAGAGAGAGACAGAGATAGATAGATAGATAGATAGACTAGAATAGATTAGAGTAGGTTAGATGAGATAGATAGATAGATAGATAGACTAGAATAGATTAGATTAGAGTAGGTTAGTTTAGATTGGATTAGATCAGATCAGATCAGATAGATAGATAGATATATCGATAGGTAGATAGATACATAGATACATAGATACATAGATAGATAGGCAGGTAGATAGATAAATAGACTAGAATAGATTAATTAGAGTAGATTAGATGAGTTTGGATTAGATCAGATTAGATAGATAGATGGATCGATCGATAGATAGATAGATACATAGATAGATAGGTAGGTAGATAGATAGATACATAGATACATACATACATAGATAGGTAGGTAGGTACGTAGATAGTCAGAGGAAAGAAAGAGAGAGAAAGAGAGAGAGAGAGAAAGAGAGAGAAAGAGAGGGAAAGAGAGGAGACCTCAACCACCTGTCGGTCCATTAGTGGCTTCGCTCTGCCATCCGTGACTCACAACAACCAACCTCTCCTATAGGTTTTCTATTTTTGAAACTTCCGCCACCGCCTTGTGCGGTACTACTGGTGTAATATATATATATATATGATATGTAATATATCATTGATCTATTCAAACAAATGCGCACACACACAGTATATTTATACACATAAAAAGCGGGTTGGTCGTATTTTATCACATTTAACTTTAGAGTAGCAAATGATGAGATAATTAAACCACCGCACTCAAACATTCTGGGAAGGTGCTTATCGTTTGGTTGAGGCGATCATGAGGCAATCCCACAAACCTGTCCCTGGCGTCCAAAGAAACTTGGCCTGGAAGACGCAAGGAGAATATCATATGCAACGGTAGGGATCAGAGAAATGAAAGTAATTGCTGGTCAAACCACCATTCCATTGTATTCCGTTGTATTTATTGAATCAAAGATAATTTTTAATATTCAACAACCCTCAGAGTTTGCTGGTAAGATTTTCATAAATATAATCATTATATTAATCACTATATGTAATAATCATTTTATTAGTCATTATACTAGCCATTACTTTAATCATTAAAATCAATCATTATATTAGTCATTATATAAATCATGATATATATATAATCATTATATTAATCATCATATATATATAATCATTATATTAGTCATTATATTAGTCATTATATTAGTCATTATATTAGCCATTATATTAGTCTTTAATCAAATCATTATATTAATCATTATTTTAGTCAATATATTAATCATTATATTAATCATTATATGAGTCACTATATTAACAATTATATTGGTCATTATATGAATCATTATAGTAATCATTGTATTAATCATTATATTAGTCATGATATTAATCATTATATTAGTAATAATATTGGTCATTAAACTACCCGTTATGTTAAACATGATATTAGTCATTATATTAATCAGTATATAAATAATCATTCTATATTAGTCATTAAATTAATCATTATATTAGTCACTATATTAGTCATTAAATAAAACATTGTATTAATCATTATATTAGTCATTATATTAGACATCATATGAATCATTAATATTAATCATTATATTGATCATTATATTGGTCATTATACTAATCATTATATTAGTCATTATTGTAATCATGGTATTAGTCATTAAATGAATCGTGATTAAAAAAAAACATTATATTAGTCATTACTTTAATCATTATATTTCTCATGTCATTTGTCATTACAATAATCATTGTATTAATCATGATATTAGTCATTATATTAGTCGTTATATTAATCATTATATTAATCATGATATTACTCATTAAATAAGTCATTATATTAGTCATTATATGAATCATTATATTAGTCATTATATTAGCCATTTGCCCACACATATTATTCATCATTTTATTTATCATTATATTAATCATTTTATTAGTCATTATATTAATCATTACATTAGTCATTATATTAGTCATTATATTGGTCATTATATTGGTCATTATATTAGTCATTATACTAACTAATATATTAATCATTATATTAGTCCTTATATTAATCATTATATTAATCATTATGTGAGTCACTATATTAACAATTATATTGGTCATTATATGAATCATTATAGTAATCATTGTATTAATCATTATATTAGTCATGATATTAATCATTATATTAGTAATAATATTGGTCATTAAACTACCCGTTATGTTAAACATGATATTAGTCATTATATTAATCAGTATATAAATAATCATTCTATATTAGTCATTAAATTAATCATTATATTAGTCACTATATTAGTGATTAAATAAATCATTGTATTAATCATTATATTAGTCATTATATTAGTCATTCTATTAATCATTATATGAATCATTGCATTAAGCATTATATTAGTCATTATATTAGTCATTCTATTAATCATGATATTCATCATTATATTACTCATTAAATAAGTCACTATATTAGTCATTATATGAATCATTTTTTTAGTCATTATATGAGCCATTTGTGCACACATTTTATTAATCATTTTGATTGTCATTATATGAATCATTATATTAATCATTATATTGGTCATTATATTGGTCATTCTATGTCATTATACTATTCATTATATGAATCATTGTATTAATCATTATATTGGTCATTATATTGGTCATTCTATGTCATTATACTATTCATTATATGAATCATTGTATTAATCATTATATTAATCATTATATTGGTCATTATATTGGTCATTCTATGTCATTATACTATTCATTATATGAATCATTGTATTAATCATTATATTAATCATTATATTGGTCATTATATTGGTCATTCTATGTCATTATACTATTCATTATATGAATCATTGTATTAATCATTATATTAATCATTATATTGGTCATTATATTGGTCATTCTATGTCATTATACTATTCATTATATGAATCATTGTATTAATCATTATATTAATCATTATATTGGTCATTATATTGGTCATTCTATGTCATTATACTATTCATTATATGAATCATTGTATTAATCATTATATTAATCATTATATTGGTCATTATATTGGTCATTATACTATTCATTATATGAATCATTGTATTAATCATTATATTAATCATTATATTGGTCATTATATTGGTCATTCTATGTCATTATACTATTCATTATATGAATCATTGTATTAATCATTATATTAATCAGTATATTGGTCATTATATTGGTCATTCTATGTCATTATACTATTCATTATATGAATCATTGTATTAATCATTATATCCCATTCATCTTCCATGGAAAAATCCCCATGTTGGCCAATTTTCAGTCACCATAAACTCCAACCGTCGCGTAGCGTTGCCAAATTCATCGCCTTGTGCGCCTCCAACTGCCGAAGCTCGTCTTCAGCCAAGACCCTGGTGCGATGGCTAGCTCTCAGGGCTTCAACATGGAGAAATCTCTGGAAACTTCATGAAGATTAATGCAGATTAATGCAGATTTTGATGTAACTCATGAAGATTAATGCAGTGAAAATCATAGAAAATCTGGAAACTACATCACCCAACTGTTGACGAATTGTTGCTGGTCAGCCCCACTGGCCCAAAGTGATGAGAAATTCTAGTTTGAAACCGCCAAGGCCGCGGTTTAAAGGAAGAATCATGTTCAGTAAACCTGTGTCACAATTACCTTTCTTGCCTATGTTCCAGAATGTTCCAGATCATAGGTTGTTTTGTCACATTGCCCTCTTCGTGGGGTGTAGCGAAGTATGCCATACAATCATTGTGCGGGCATGTTCCCGATCAATTGTTCCAATCCCAGCCTTGATTTCATACAATCTTTGATGGGTCACTCCAAAAAACATCAAATTTCACCTTCTTGGTTTTCAACTAAGGTCACAAACAACATGAAAATCTAAGTCCAGTTTCAAACGAGGCTCCAAAGTTTTTCCTGCTCTGCGACCAAATCCGAGCTTCCATCCTGCTGGGGGTGCGTGTTCGCACACTTGCAGCCATGAAATGGATCATTGATCACACAAAACCAAAGGTAGGTGTGAGGTAGTGCTTGCCGGTAGCTAGCCTTGCACATTCATACCGTAAAAATCAACATGAGATCACTAATTCAGGGACTGGAGAAACTGTTGTGGTGACAAAAGGGAGGTCAAAAATTGCCACGTCATCAGTTAATTTCATGTTTTTCGCTAATCTATCAGAGCTAAGTTGGTGATGGAGTGATGCATCATATAAGTGTATTGAATACGACCCAGCAACCGAGGCTTAAAACCGATTTGGCAATTGTTGGTGTTGCATATCAAATTTATGGGCTTCAAATCTAACATCAATCTGCGCAGAGAAAAACTATATAATCTATATACGATTTTCTCAATGATGATTACCTTTCGCTAATCAAACGTTGCAATGGAACATCCATCATTTATAGATGATTTTCCGGTATTTCCCTCCATTTACAGGGGATGTCTCCTTGTCACGGCTGAGTACCTGGAGGATAACCCAAACCTAACCACCACTGTCGTGGCTCGCCTGTTTTTCCATCTCACTTCGGATGCTGTCGATGCTTGCGGCCTGGGTGACGCACAAAGGCCGCGTTTTCGCAAAGTGTTTTGGGTCAAAATTATAGCGATTATAGGGTATGAATCGACGAATTGGACGAAGAATGTTTGTCATCTACAACATCGAACCATCTTTTTTATGGCTTGGACTATAAGTTGGACATTAAGACCTACCCAGGTGATTCGTGATGCTGGTGTGATGGGATCTCCACTTTATGCCAGTCTCACTTCATGCTGACAAGAAGCGGTTAAGAAACTTCCTCGCTCCTTGGTGTCTTCAACCCATCCCGGAAGCATTTTGCTCCATTTCATCATCCCATGAAAAACATTGAAAAACCATAAGCACTACCAAATCATGGGCAATAACTTCCATTGACGCCTGTTGCTGATCACATTCCCAAGTGTTTCTGGATACTGGTACGTATTTAAAAAAAGTACCCGGGAAGTCTTTATAGAAGTCTTTCAGAAGGCGGGTCAGACACGCACACCGGCAAGAAGCCGAGGAAACAGTCAATGAATGGGACCAATCTGTCTTGGTCATTCTTGGCCATTTCCCAATTGTTGTTTAATAAACATGGGGAAATGGCATTTATCAACCTAAGCATGTAAAACAATGGGGAACAATTATTTTCCCAGTTGTTGATGAACATTAATTACATGCACTTCTTCATACTTCTTCCCTCCCCATTTTAACCAACGAGGAGATGTTACGCTGGGACAATGCCTCCAAGGTGCTGCAATGTTCAGCATGATTTGCATGACCTCCTTTTCCTTGGCGCTGCGGCGTTTGTCGACACGATCGATAAAACAGCGGCATGGGCAACAGCAAAGTGCGGAGCCTTCGCTATACGTTGCTGGATGCAACGTATAGTACTATATGCAAATATAGGCTTATGATGGCTTATGGTATTTAAGCATTGCATGAATTTCATACAAGTTAATCAAACCAACCGTTATTTTTCTCCCGCTATTGATATAGTCTGAAATGACATCAGGGTAAAACGTTTACATAGATGTGGAAAAGCCATGATTTCCTATACAAATGCTGGTTTTTCCACATCTTTGTGCAGGACCCTGGGCTACTGCTGCCACGCCTTGTTGGCGATCTCCTTATGAAGCTGGGCCAGTTCGATGGTCAAGCGCTCATCGCTGAGATTTAAGAGCCTGACCAGCCGAAAAGACGTTGCGGCAAAAACCGAGGCTTGAACCAACTGCTTGAAACAGTTTGGGTGATTCTCTCTCTCTCTCTCTATGTGTATAAATTATATATATGGATACATATTAGACGTAAATCGGTGGTTGTCACATAGAATTCTAGTTTATTGATGTTTATTGCATAAACCTACTGCTCCAAACCCTTGAGGGATTGCATTTGGTTGGATTTTGGGCTCCCAATAACTTCTCAGAGGGTATTGGAGCACTGGGGCAGCCGTGTTTATGCATCTTTGGCGAGGTTTGAGCATGTTTGATCATGTTTAAGCAGTTCAATAGTGGGATCTAATCTCAAAACATGCACGATCAAGCTGCAAACTGTGCTGCCGCGAAGAAAATGGCGATTTGTTCAACATGTATTTCCGTATTGCCATGTCACAAGCACGCAAGGCCAATAGCGAGGAACGCATCACCAACAAGACATGGGGTAACCAGCCAAAATAAATATACCACCCAGCGATAAAATATATACCCTCTGGTTATTTAACATAGCCATGGAAAATGGCCCATTTATAGATGGTTTACCTATTAAAAATAGTGATTTTCCATGGCTATGTTAAATATCCAGATGGTAATGCAAAACAAATGATAGGGCAAATGTGAATACGAAACGATACAAATCAGTAGAGTAAGGCAGGAGAATCAACATTTGAAGAGGTAAATACGTGTCTGAAAACTTTGGAAACTTTCCAGCGAGGCATGTTCCATGACGAAACCAGAAATCATGGGATCATAACCAACGCTAACAAATGAAGGTGCAACCGTGCAACCAGCAGACGGATGATACAAGTTGGTGCCAGCAGATCATCTAGCATAAACCCAACCCATGGACTTGCTGGTAAAATCCCCTATGTTTAGCGCTTAAAACCTTAAAACCCCCACGAAAACAGAGCGATGGTCATCGAAAGCGCCTCTGATCAAATTGCACGAAGTCCTCTTCTTCATCCGAATCCAGGTCGCCTCACCAGCGGCGATCAACGGGCACCAATGGGCTACACCCAGCACGTTTGGGATTTAAAGAGACATCTTCCAAACCTCATTTGTTGTATCTTACCTGGCAATGGACTCCTCTCCCGATCTGAGCCAGGCACCGTGTCTGTCATGCTCTCTGGCCTCAGCGTGGGACATTTCAAGTTCTCCTCCCCAGAGGCATGTAAGAAGCAACGTGCAAAAAGGGTGATGTTGACTCCGGCAATCACCAACGCTTGGGCGGTTTAACCGGCGGAGGAATCATGTCAGAGAAGCGTGGTTGATCAGTGCTTGATGCCTTTTGAGGGGCATGCAGCATCCCCCAAACTACTCAACTACTTTTGTAAATAGGGCCAAAGGTTCGCAAATAGCAAATGATTTCATCCCTACAGTCATGTCCCTGCACGTCATCAGGTGGCGGGCACGCACATCATGATTCTCTCTCTCTCTCTCTCCCTCTCTCTCCAGGGCCCATCATGATCATATAGATTAATTACATACGGGATCAAATTGCCTGCCCCTGTCCACCCACATCAATCCACACAATCTATTCACCTTCAAACAGCCCGTGTCATCAAACATCACCCATATCATGATCCCAAACTATCCATAGCTGCCATAGCTCGTGACCAAATGTCCAAGATGCCACGGATTCGACGAACTGCTGAACCTGGCTGGATGTTTCAATTCGTCTCTGAAATCTTTTCTCCATGATTCTCTCATATTCTCTCCCCAATATAATGAGTCATGTGCTTTCTATGTGCTTTCTACATGCTCATCATGCTCTGGTACACGCAAATAACCTCCCTGGTAACGTGTGTGATGGTGGACTCCGGGCCGGTTCCAGGCGCCATTCGGCCACCTCTGGGAACAGGCGGCATTCTTTTCGCTGGGTGTGACCGACGGGGTCGCTGTTCAATTGGTGAGCACCCGGACGACTTGAGACAAATCACCGTCATGAGTCACCAGAAGTTCTCTGATGACCTCCTCATTTGCAAGCTGGAGTTCAAGTAAGTGGGCCACTTTCTGTTCAAATTCATCAACTTCCGGCTCCGCATGGGCCTGCCAGCCCTTTTTCTTTTTGCCCTTCTTGCCCTTTCCCCTGCCCTTGGGCCAGGCACATGGCCATTCCGGTTCCTGACTCTCTTCAAACATGGTCTGATCGAGGCCTGGGTATGGCATCGGACATCCAAAGGCAGGATTGAAGCCCATGGCATGTGCACCAAACTGATGGGCCAACATTGAGCCCACGGCAGCTCCCATCCAAGCTCCTGCTCCGGCACCCTTCCCAGCCCATGCTGTCCAATCAAAAGGAGCTGCACACGAAGATTTCTCGCTCTTCTCGGTCTTGTCACGGCAAGTCTTGCCCTTTCCCTTGGCTGGAAAAATGATGCACTGGAAGTCTTTGGAACAGCCCGCGCAGTTCCCATGTAGCTGAATCTTTTGAGGGTAACAGTTGCCACACAAGCTGTACTGAGGGCACTGTGGACACCTGAAGCGCGGGCCAACAATGGGAGCCGCCCCACACCCTGCGCAGCTGGAGCCTGGGTGTTGACAAGGCTCGCAGGCGGACGACAAGTCGTCACCAAACCATATGCTGGTGACACACTCCAAGTATGGAAGCAGGCTGGAAGCAACCTAAGCTTGGCCATGCTGGGCCACGCATGGACATGCAAATGAACTCATGAACATGAATTCACCATCGGGTTGGTATACCAAAAGTATCCAAAAGTAAGTTGGTTTTCGGTGGATCCCTTTGGACCCCAAAAGCTACACTTTTTCACACGACTGACTAACTTCAATCTGGCACTATACACCCGACAGGCACTCCTAAAATGCAACCGCTGTTCCAGCTCCCAAACCTACCATATTTATCCATATTTATCCATATGCTATGTGACGTCCGGCTCCATGAATATCTTGCGCCTTCCGGAACACACAATGGCAGTAATATGGAGGAATAATGTAACTCCCAGTTCATTCACTTGGCACGTTCCAAAACTATGATGAACCCATTCTACCTGGCCTACCCATAATGTCTCCAACTACTGGTCAATACTTACATGGGGGCATCATGGGGCTGTACCGGTTTATCAAAACATCCAGTTGCGTGCGGTTTATGCAACCTCAAGAAATTGTAAACTAGGGCAACTACATTATAATATATTTGCAATTATATGCATCATGGAGTTGACCACATCAGATAAAACATCATCAAAAATCCTTTTCTGTAAAAGGAATTAGTTAAATACATCGATTCAGTAAAAGGACCACATCAATTCCTCTTTTTCTTTGCTTACCCTCCCGCAATCAAACATGGCTTGCTGGAAACTCAACCATTTACTGTAAGTCAAATGATTTTCCCAGCTATAAACCTCCATTTATATCCATTTAGGTAGGTAAGAGATTTCCCAGCCGAATCAGCCCAGGGACGCTTTCACAGAAGTGGGTCTGAATCTCAAATCCCAGGCCCCTCAAGGCTTTCAGCAGCTCCAACAGAGCTTCCCCCAGGCGTTGTGCGCTGTTGCCGTTGCCGTTGAGCGCTTCCGCCATGAGCCCAGCATAGCTTTCTAAGCCCGGGGTCTGGGCGGCCTGAACCTGCCCGAACTGCCAGGATGGATCCCAGCTCATCCAGCTGGAGATCCGTGGGTCGGAAACAGAAACTACAAGTACAGTAAGTAGTATGTGATAGTATGTGTATATATATATATAAATATAAATAAATATATATGTATATATGTGAGATCATATCATCAAGGTGCAGTCAAAAAATACCAAATGATAGTGCATTGATTATGTAAATGATATGAAAAATGACAGCTAGGGATGTCCCAAGAAATCATGCCGTGCAATGTTTGAAGTGGATTGCAACTATGGACTATGGTCCTATGGTTCTCGATATTTCTTAATAATATATAACTGGTTATAACTTACACAGTCAGAATGCACATTACCTGGTGTAGAAACCTGAAGTCGCCTAAGTCAACTGACTTTGCCACTTAGATCGCTTGAAAAACCATGGTAAAATCATGATGTGATGTGAATCGGCTCGCCCATTTCGGGGTCCTGTCCTGGATGTTCTCCAGCAAGGCCTTCATGTTGTGATCCAGGCCGTGTCTAGCCATGTGATTGATCTTATCCACCTTCAGGGTCTGCGACTTGTTGAACGTGGCTTTCTCATGTCTTTGCTATTGTTTGATGGCATGACATGGCCATGAAATCTATGGCGTAAAACCTCATGTGAAGATGTTTATCTGCAGATACACATGAAATCAAGGGGCCCAAGATGTGGCCTAACGCCCAAATTCACGACCCTCAAGATGACATATGCACAGTGCTTCCACAAAAAACGTGATGATTTTTGAAGGAAATGTAGGTACATGTTTCCCAGCATCCTGGATGATCTGGGTACATGGCCTAGCCTAGATACCCAGCGTGTTCTTGAGCTGGTCAGGCCCTAAACTATCCAGTTGGTGTACCTATTTTTTAATGCTTAAATCCCCATACAGTTGTTGGCGAAAACATGTTAAACCATGTTAAACATGGTTAAACTATGTTCAACCCTGATTTCTGCTGGATCATCCATGTGAATCCGTTCCCCAAGTCCCCACAACGCATCACCTTTCGCGCCACTCGCTGCGTCACCAAGGGCAGCCACTGCACGGCCAGCGAGGCAAACATGGCCGGCGTGAGAAGCTCCGCCTCGCGGAGCATGTGCAGCGCGATCAGCAGGCGACGGGGACCACCACCGTTGCCACCCGGACCCCATGCCCCAGGGCCGTAGGCGGCCTGGGCGGGGCCATATTGAGCCATGGGACAGTGATTTTGTATGTTTTTGCGGGACCATGGGTTGGGGGTTAAGGTTCTTTTTGATGGATTTGTTGGAGGTGATTTGATGTTTTTGTCTTGAGAGGAGATGACCTGTGTTAGTTTTCGGGGGAGCATGATATAGTTGGCCAGCAGAACATGGAGAGAAGAAAGACGAGGAGTTGACACACAGCTGAGAGTCATCTACCTTAAATATGCGGATTGGCAGTTGGCAGTAGCCTATTAGCTTATGGATCTGAAGGAATCACATCACCGGGCGGGGGGCTCATTATTATCACGGGTGACGATCCATGATGGAGGGCCCACTGGAAACCATGGCTGATCCTAGGTAGTTACCTTGCAAAACGCCTAATGCTGTGCTGGTCAGTATAGTATTATCGTTATCCTCCATGTATGGCAAGAAATCATCTGGCTAAGATAGGTTTAACTACTGTTGTAATTATATCAACGATCCATTCATCGCAAGAAATCGGCCCGATAAACTGCATCTCCATCTCCCAAGCCTTGCCTCTCCCAGCTCATCCTTTTCATTTTCAAGGCCAGGTGGGGGTCCTGCGGGAACATCTTCCTTTGCTGTTGCTTTGGCCTCTGGGGTCTCTGGTTCTTGGGATTCGGGCTCTCTGGACTTCAGGCGCAACTTCAACAAACGTCTGTTGCTCTGCAAATTCATGAAGTCATCAAAGGTGGCTTGGGCCAAAGTGCACCAATCTCCCTCATCATCCGCATATTTCAGCGGACAAGTGCCTCCTTTCGCAAGAAACAGCGCAACATCTGGACAGCAGTCAGCCACAAGTTTGACCACTGAGGTATAGCTGGCTTCTTCTTGCAGTGTCAGCCTGTAGATCCTTGAACTTTGGAGAAAGAATCCAACCCTGGAGATGCGTCAAACAAATCAGTGGCAGCTTTACCCCGTAAAACATTTAAAACATTTGGAACTGAACCGAACAGCTCCGAAACATTGAACCCAAGATAAACCAAGCAAACAAATGAACAACAGCAAGACTTCTCTCAAATTCCCCAGGTCTGGCTGATGCACCAAAAAAAACAAAACGCATCATGAGTATTCAGCCACCGCCGTGAAAGGTGACCGCCCCCATAATAGATGCTTGTTTAAGGCCCTTATTGATCCTTATTGGGGGTTGGTGCTTCAAAAAACCCTGTGTATACACCTTTCTTGGGGGCCAGGGATCTCACCATTTTCACAGTGGACCTTCACGGTCGCCATGGCAGGTCAACGCCTTGAGCCTAAAATCTGCTGCTGTTTCCATCAATGGATACCCATTTGGTGGCGCTGAAATGACATATCATGAAATTACAAAAATAAATCACTAAATTCGGGCATCTCGGCTATCTGCAAACACACCCATTGAAGCTCTCCCCCCTGCCTGCCGCACCGTGTTGCGTTCCTTCTTACGCATGCGATCCTCTGTGCCCAAGGCAGACCACGCACGTTCGCACTCGCGCCTGATGGATAACAGTTTGAAACCTAAAAACGGGATGGAACATGATTTGGTATTTTGTAGTCCCATGATAGTTCCATGTTGGATTGTTCGGGGAAGATGAGTCACAGAGCCATTGAGGTGGCGATGCCTTGCTTCTGACCATTGGTGGTTTCAAGATGTTTCAAGGCATCCCAATTACTTGCCAGTTACCTATGTTTGAACACACCACCATTAAAAAAATTAGCGTTTACCTGACTTTCTTGCTCCTTTTCAGAAAAGTGATCTGCAGAGATCTGCGGGGTGATGCAGAGTAGCTTCCTGAACTGATGCATGCCTTGGTTTTGAGCCCTGAAACCTGGAAGGTTGGGATCCGATTCAACTTACCCATGCCCAGGTAACTTGGTCCTCCTTGTTCTTGGATGTTCTTGGATGTTCTTGGATGTTCTTTGAGAAATTTGCCCCCCAAATGCTTGGGCTCCTTTCTTGCCAAAGCGGGTGTAACCCCTCCATACTTTCTGTTTTCATCTACCAATCGGTGGAAAAAGGACTTCCAGCCGATTTCCTACAGTTTTCTTCTAAAGTACCCACTATACTGGATATATAACGTACACTCACACACCCACACACACACATTCATATATATATATATATACACCAGTAGTATCGCACAAGGCGGTGGCGGAAGTTTCAAAGTTAGGACACTATAGGAGAGGTGAGTTGTTGCCATGCATGGATGGCGGAGCGAATCCACTGATGGACCGAAAGGTGGTTGGAGCTGTGCTTTTTGGAGTGATTGCAATGGTTGCAGTGGTCACCTCACCCACAACTGCTGGATGTAGTTGTAGTTGTGGTGTAGCGGAATTGTAGTTGTAGTGTAGTGTAATTAGTGTGGTGTAGTTGTAGTTGCAGTTGCAGTTGTGGTGTGGTGCAATGAGTGTAGTGTAATGTAGTGCAGTGTCGTGTCGTGTAGTGTGCTGTAGTGTTGTGTTCTGTAGTGTGGTCTAGTGTTGTGTATAGTCTAGCGTAGTGTAGCGTAGTGTGGTGTAGCGAAGCGTAGTGTAGTGGAATTAGCGTAGTGTAGTGGAATTAGTGTAGTGTAGTGTAATGTATTGGTAGTTGTAGTTGTAGCTGTAGTTGCAGTTGTATTTGTAGTTGTAGTTGTATGGTAGTGTGACTACTGTAGCGTGGTGTTGTGTAATGTAATGTGGTTGTAGTTGTAGTTGTAGTTGTAGTGGTAGTTGTAGTTGCAGTCTAGCGTAGTGTCGTGTAATGTAAAAGCGTAGTGTAGTGTAATGTAGTTGTAGTTGTAGCTGCGGCTGTACTAGTACTAGTAGTTGTAGTTTTAGTTGTAGTCTAACTAGCGTACTGTACTGTAATTAGTGTAGTGTGGTGTAATTAGTGTAGTGTAGATTAGTGTAGTGTAATTGGTGTAGTGTAGTGTAATCAGTGTACTGTAGTGCAGCAGTGGTGTAGCTGTAGTTGCAGTTGCAGTTGTGGTTGTCTATCTATCTATTTGTCTATCCATCCATCCATCCATCTATCTACCCGCAAGTTTGAAAATCTATCGATCTATCTATCAATCTCTCTATCTGTGCAAGTTTGAAAACAAAGCTATTCTGCGAAACTTCCTCGATTTTTGAACTTGGCAACATCAAAAACGAAGCAATTCCGCGAGACTTCCTTCAATAATAATGGAAAGTTGAGTGCAGAGCTGACGGCCTCGTGCCAATGCGTTTTGCGTTTTTTCCCGTCCATGTCTCTGAAGTATTGCGCCTGCCACAAAAAAGTGAAGCCAGGTCATACGAAGAGTTGCACCTGTCACACGAAATAATCTTCCCAAAACTGAATGAAGATCTGATGCTCCACAACGCAACCCCTCCCAGGAAATCAGCGCCCTGACCTCCTAACATCTCTGATGACCATGTCTCTTGTAATGTTGTCTGACCAATAGTGATACCTTGTCAATAGTAGAAACATTTTTCCGCAACTCCAGTTTTATCTCCAATACTAAAAGTCAATTAGCTCCATTTACTTTTAGTATTGCCAAAAGAGTCATGTTCAGACCTTGTCCAGAGGGCATGGTCAATAGTGGACCCAACATGGCAATAGGCAATAGTGGAAACTTTTTTCCCAACTCCAATTTTTTTTCCAATACTAAAAGTCAATTAGCTCCATTTACTTTTAGTATTGCCAAAAGAGTCAAGTAAAGCAAATCCTTTTCAAAGCAGCCTTCACTTTTGATTAGCAAAAGCTTAGATTCCAGAAATCTGATCCAATTACCAAACAGCTGATTTCCTTATAAAACCCTTATTTAAAAAAGCAAGAAAACAGGTCCACAAAGGGTACCGCCTTTGCAAGCCCCAGAATAGCAATAACAAACCTGCACCAGGCATGGCAATAGTGGAAACTTTTTTCCGCAACTCCAATTTTGTTGTCCTCCTTCTCCTTCTCCTTCTCCTTCTTCTCCTCCTTCTTCTCCTCCTCCTCGTCCTCCTCCTTCGCCTCCACCACCTCTGCCCCCACTTCCATGTCCACTTCCGCCTTGCCAACTCTTCGCCAATCTCTTCGCCAACTTCTGCGCGCAGTGAGCGCTGCTGGACATGGAGAATCTATCAGATACATATCATGATCCCAGACATCGGATTCCAAAAATTTACTATTGGAATGCTGACCCCCCCTAATTTTTTAAACATATTATTTTATTTAGGGGGGGTTTACTATTAGGCAGCCTACATTACTGCGCCTGCCACGGAAAATGCATCTTTCCAGATCCTCTTCAAATGTCCTACGCCCGCCATCCTTTTGGGAAATGCTTGAAAACCCCCACCGCTTGCTCAAGGTGCACAATCCCTTGTGCCGGCCACGCGAAACGACATCTGAACGTCCAAAAGCCCTCCGTACCCGTCAGTTTTTTGCACTTTTGACTTGGAAATGTGCTTTGCGCCACAACCGCGTACACTTTTTGAACATCTCAACGTCCAAAGTTGTTCTGAACGTGTTTTGAACATTTTGGCTTGGAAACGCGCTTCGCGCCACAACGGCGTGCACTTTTTCAACATGTCAACTTCCAAAAGTGGTCCGAACCTGGTGTGCTTTGCACATTTTGACTTGGAAATGTGCACTGCACGGCGTGCACTTTTTCGACATCTCAACTTCCAAAAGTGGTCCGACGTTGGTGTTTTGTACATTTTGGCTTGGAGATGTGCTTGGCGCCACAACGGCAAGGGCGTGCAACTTTTCATCTCTCCTATGACCACAGGGCTCCGCACCCGCCGCTTTAGCGAGCCTACTTTTCGACCCTCCGGAGCCACAAGTCATTGGAAAAAACACAGTGTTTCGCGACTTTCCTACCTTTTCGCGCACCTGCATCTTCTTTCGAGTATGGCGGTAACCGGCCGACCGGACCGGGCAACCGGCTGACCGGATCCCGGTTGACCCCTCCCCTCCCCGGTTGCCCGGTTGCCCGGTTGCCCGGTTGACCGGCTGACCGGGGCGGTTGCCCGGTTGACCGGCTGACCGGGGCGGTTGCCCGGTTGACCGGCGGAATGCCCGGTTGACCGGCTGACCGGCCGATCGGCCGACTAGGGGAAGAAATGCCCGGTTGCCCGGCTGACCGGGGCGGTTGCCCGGTTGACCGGCGGAATGCCCGGTTGACCGGCTGACCGGCCGACCGGCCGACCAAGGGACACAAAAAATCGAAGACAAGAACACGAGACAAACAAAAGCAACAGCAACACCAGACACAGAATAGAACCAAAGGCAAGATCAAAGCACTACAAGTAGCAGCTAACCTGCCAAAAACTGAAAACGTAAGTATTGAAAGTGGCAAGGACACAAAAGCAGTTGAAGAGAAGAGGAGAGCAAAAAAGACCACGGAAGAAAAAAGAGCCTGAAGAAAAACACTGGAAAATAGAAAGCAAAACAGCAAAGAAAAAATTGACAGAAGAAAACTTTTTGGGAAAGTCCCGCTAAAAAATGTAGACCGGAACCATTAAAATGCGAAAAGGAACCATGGGAAATGCAAAGTCTAAGTAGAAAATTTGTTCCATGCAAGCACTAAACATAGACCTCAACCAACAAGTGTAAACTTGCATCACCCAAATTGTAACGTCGTAGCGGTAAAGTTAGAACGGTCACGAGTAAAAATGTAAAGGGCAACCATGAAAATGGCAAAATGTAAGCATGAGAATCTTTGAAAATATATCGTGCCAAAAACATTCGAACCGTGAAAACATGGACCAGGCGAGAATCGATACTCCACCTGACACATACCTGCGTCATTATCTTCTGTGAACCTGACAAGTAACATCTCTTCTAACTCTTCGCGGTTTCGAAGCGTTGCGGAGGCAAATAAAAAAAAAAAATATATATATATGATTAGTGTAGACGATGCACAGGAGGACAAGAAATAGATGAAGTCCATGAAGCTGATCCTCGTTTCACGTGTAAAGACGACCCCCGCTTCGCGTGTACAGACGAACCCGTTTTCGCGTGTACAGACGACCCCCCGGCCTTAAGCTGCAAGGGAAGCGGCTCCGTAGCAGCAGCCCGTTGCAGCCGGATGACGACTCGTTGCACGGCACATGGAGAGAGGTGCTGATGGGCAGCGCTGGTTGTGTGAGGCTGCGATTGGCAAAATGCCATGTGTGTGTGTGTGTGTTTTAGCTAAGGTAGAAGCATGTGCTTTGGACTGGACTATGTTCAAATAGGGCATGGGAAGTGCATGTCTGCATTGTGGTGAACTCAATAGATATCTAAGGGAACTGGAGTCTATGGAAACTGGGCGCTGCAAACCGAAAGCTGCAAACCAAGGCAGTGTAACAAGATTAAATACGATTTGATACGCTACAACCTAAGGCAAGTTCAGAGACCAAATGTCGTTAGTGTGCATATGCCGTGGAGGTTCGGTACAAGACACAAACTGCATGTTAGTTTCGTGGATGATGGAAAACATGTTGAAGAAACAGAGACGACAGTACAGATACACATTGCACGGTGTCATGGCTGAGACGGAGGACTTTGGCAATGGAGATCGAACAGGAGACATAGAGGTTGGCAAGTAGGACACATTTCGCACGAAAGTCGCTGCCGAAAATTTCATTTTGCTGCGGTTCGAACTCTGTCGGCTTTTTTTGTAAAGCGGGTGAAACAGCAGGAGGTCGGCATGGATTTAGAGCTGCTGCGAAGCTGGTCGTCGAAATGGCAGCGTTTCCACTGCATCCTGGAAGTTGCGGCGCGCCATGAATTTTCGCTTCTTGGCCGCTGCCAGTTCTGCCTTTTTGATCCCCATGAGTTCGAGTTGTACATTGCGAGCGTGCAGCAATGACGCAAGGAAGAGAAGGCCACGCACTGGGGTCATGCGCCGCGCCGCCACCGCAATTTTGCGAACAAACGCAAAAGATTGTTCAGCTGCGCTGTCATTAATGTTGGGGAAGCTCGAGGCATGCGTCTGAGGCCACGTTTTGGGAAACGGGCGAGTGCCATCAGGCTTGCAGCCGCTGTGCCCTTTGCGAAAATGGAACTTGTCGATGACAAGGCGAAGCCGGCTGAGGGTACGAGCAACTTTGCTCATGCGGCGTCGTTTCTTGGAAGCCATGAAGCGCTGCAACGTGCACGCGCAATCGTAAAAGACCAGCGGCATGGTTTGCTGAAGTGTTCGCAGGCGAGTCTTCCGCTTGGCAGTCTTCAAATTGACATTGCGGCCGGCAGACAGAAACTCAAACAGCTCAGCCAAGAAAAAGTAGACCCCTGTTGGGGATTCGTGGGTGTACACGAGCTTGATGGCGCTGATGATTTGGCATTCCTTGACAGCGGCTAAAACGCCCCCACTGCGCCGTGCTGCACGAGATTTTTCCCATTGCCGGCGACACGCGTCATTTTTCTCGGACGCAGAGAACTGGACTTGATGTCCGACGCGTGGCTTTGATTGGCACTCTCGTGAAACGGGCTCCAACAAGGATTGACCATATTGCTGTTGGTAGTGCGTGGGAACCAAGGCGCTTGATAGCAAAAAGGCTTGGCCTGTCTTGGTTTGGAAAGCATACCGCCGCGAACGCGGAATACGTTTGACAGAAAGAAGCGAAACTGGATATTGAAGCTTAGCGTGGCTCACAGCAAAACTCAACGCTTTCCGCGTTCGTCGACAAAGCGGGAAAAGCGCGACAATATCTGGCGACTTGTGGCGACCAGCTTCGGTGCGAGAAAGCAGGGTTGCTGTCGTTGCGAGGAAGGAAAGGATCATTTGCAAAATGAGATCGCAACCAAAAATCGGGTCAGCATCTCGGAGGTGCACGGCGCAATATTTTCGACCAGGAATGGGAGCACTCTGGCATCCAGTCAGGCAATGGGCGTTCAGAGGCCTGCAATCCCATACGCCCGCATCCGTGTTGGCGCACAGTTTGGTACGAACTTTGGCATTGCCGTCCACGCCTAGAATGCCTCGTTCGCACTTGGAACACTGGTGTTGCAGGAGCCAGCGACGCTGAAATTGGTGAAGCACCTGGTCTTCGAGTCCACGGCACCAGGGTTCCATGCCATTCTTGCCGACAAAGCAATTGATGGAAGTGCGATTGTTTGTCAAAAACTTGCACACGGAGTATTGCAGCCACGAATCGCGGAGATGCTTCTCCAGCGTTCGAATTTTCATGTGGAGCTTGGGCCGCAGCACATTCACAATGCCTCGGAAAGAACCGCCGCAATGAAGCAGAATGTCGGTGACTTGGTCCAAGAAAGCTGTCGCAAAGACGATGTTTTGCGTGATGCAGAAGTAGCGTGGGTTGTCTTGCACTAGCATCCTAGCCCGCGCACCAGTTGCATCTTTGCCCTCAACCCACGGTCCAAAATAAGAGCGACTGCAGGAGCAGCAAGAGTAGCTGAGGAGCAGGACCTGTTCCACGCAATGCAAGCCAAGCGCACAAGGCACTGCGCGAGCGGCGGCACATTTGAGATGTGCGTGGCACGTCAGACAATGTTTCACGTCTGGTTGAACGCATCTCGTGGGAATGTGCTTTGGCAAGTGGCACTCAGCTCCAAGCCAATGCGGGGCACGTCGGAGAAGCTTGCCAAGAATAAAGTCGCAGTCCCTTTCAGACAGGTGAAGATGGAAACATTGTTGTTGCAGCAATGCGTGCGCCACAGACGCTCGACATGCAGGATCCGCGTGGTGGAACGCGAGAACGAAAGCAGGCAACAAACTGAGGGACCCTGGGTACATCAACGAAGAGCACGCGTCGCTGTGGGTGGCCCCGGCTAACATCTCGGTTCCTGGAGGCGGAGGAGGAGGATTGTTAGGCGCTACCTGCTTGGCTGCCACGCGCTGGGATTTGACATTCAGAATTTTGGCACTGTGCTCGAAAGGGCGGGCGTCAGTGGCGTATTGCGTGAGCAGCTGCAAGCACTGCTCCATGCGCGGGACATCGAAATCGGGCGGCAACAGGACCTTCAAGTCGGCAGCATACAGACTGGAGATAGACGCGGTCACCGTTAGGCAGGATTCTGCGTACTCCGCCAAGCTGTTCGCCTGCTTGTGCTGGAAAAGATGCAGCAAATTTGAAAATGCAACTTGGGAAGTTGGGCATTGCGGAGGCTTTCTTTTGCGCAGCCTGTGAGCCGCCTTTTCGGAGGTCCTGGTCAAGGCTGCCAACTGGCAATATTTCAGAAGCAAAAACGCGTTTTGGCAATATGGCTTGGCAGCATCTCTTGGTAATGCCACGCCTGTGTCTTTTGCATGAAGTTTCTTCAGCAAGGTCCCCTGGTCAACCATGATTGTGCTTGCGCTCGTGAGAACCCAGTGCGCAGCAACGAAAGCATAGAGTTTGTTGTCCGGGGAAAGGGCTTCCCACCAAACAGTGAAAGACGGGCTAGCATCCGGCAACGAATTGGCAGGGGCAGCTTCTGCGCGAGCAGTTGGGAGAGTGTCGGTTTCGATCAAAGTGATAAGATACGGATACCTCTGCGCAGCAAGCTCGCGCAAGTCGTGCGTGTCCAAGGTGCTGACGAGGTTGGATCCCGGCGCGAGCAGTTGAGACTGCAAGGACAAATAATCGAAAATAGCTTTAGCCGGCTCCACGACTTCGCGAGAAAGCTCTCTGCTCCAAGCCGTGCCTGACTGATCGGCGGCAGAACACGCACGCGCCCAAGAATGCAACAACAGAGCCAAACGCCAGGGAAGTGATTTCAGTTTGCCGGCATGGCTGAAAAGCTTTGGGTCCTGCAAGTATGATTGTTCTTGCGTGAGAACTTGGGCGTCGTAGTGCTCTCGAAAATAATCCAAGGCATCGGGGGCAAAGAAATATGGAATGAATTCCCGCGACGCATCAAAATCAGGAGCATTTGCAGTGTGAACGTTTTCGATTCTTGTGAGGACAGAAACAAACTGGGTGAGCAATGAAGCTGGAAGGACCGGCGCACCTCGAGAGCGCGCAGCCCCCGTGGAATACACCGCAGGTTCGAGGACTGCGTCTGCTTTCTCGAGGCGGGGGCTGCTGTGAAACATGAGAAACCGACTTTGCATGCCCAAGGCACCATCTTTGGCCAGAAAGTCATGCCATTCCTCGACATGGAAAGTCATTGCTAAACAAAGGCATGTCTGGTGCATGGAGAAGCGGTTGTTATCCTTCACAACCGTCCTTTTCCATTAAAGAGCTTGGACATAGTGGAGGCATTAAATCCGGAACCTTCTCCGTTGGCCAGCGCTCGGAGAAGGAACCGGCCTTCATCATATAATCCAATAGCCCGGTGCCCGTTGTGCGCCATTTGCATGCCAATGGCGGGCAACGAGCCTTCGTCGGAAAACAAGGCGGGCTTGTTGTTGTGGATGGCCGCCAATGCTTTCGACAAGGAGGTCTTGCGTTTTTTTGACGAAGGCTCATCTGGCTCCGCACCGTGTGCATCCTCCTCCTCTTCTGCCAGCTGCGCTTCCTTACGAGCTTCGTCCAGCGCCTTTTGGAGCAACTCCTTTTCAAAGCCAGAGACGATGTCTGCCAAGGCTGTCATGATGCCGCTTTTGTTGGCGCCGCTGTCGAGGCATAAGCCCAACCAAAGCAGCGGCGGCACGAGGAAAAATTCGTTGATGAACAGCCTGGCTTTGGAGCACGCAGTGCCAAGAACGGGTAGAAAAAGGAGGAAAGCCCATTCAAAGGGGCAGCCCGCTTTTTGGGTAAGGTTGTCTGTCATTGAATAGACGTCCGGCAAGGCATTTTTCAGCTGCTCATGTGGGAAGGGGGCAAGGTCGGCAAGGATGTATCGAGAGATCAGCTTTGCTCTTTCTGGATCTTTGCGGTACACGTCTGCAAAAGCTCGGTTGAAGTCTTCAGGTGTACCCCGAAGCAAATTGCCCGGCGAGGCTATACAGGCATTGACTGAGTCGTCTTCCATTTGCGCAGGGCCCGACGCACCCGCTGTGCAACTGGCAGCGTCTGGCGAGGAAGTGAGTAACTCGCATGGCGTAAAAACTGTCAGCGCTTCACGGCTGAGCCGCTCGGTGAGCGTGGGTTCTGCCAGGTTCAATGGAACGGTCGCCACGCACGCTGCATGAGCCGTGGGCTGCGCCCGGCCTAGCCAAGCCTCGGCGTGATCAGTGGAACCTGGAACGCGCAAGAGCGCTTGCAAAAAATGCTTGGTCGAATGGATGAAAACGAACAGGAAACAATTTGGGTTCTTAAGCCGGAGCAATGCGGCGCCCCATTCAATTCGCTGGAAGGTGTGGAAGCTGGAGACGTGGAACAAACAATTGTTGCTGTCCAGGATCAAAAGGTCTACAGGCTCTGCAGGAGCCAACACAAGAGCAAGCTGCGAGAGCCCCCGACCACAAAGATGCTGGCCCATTTCCAGGATGCAAGGGCAAATGGACAACGCTACTGTGTCACGCAGCGTCTCCAAGTGACCTACGCATTCCAAGCGCGTAGTTTTGAAGCAATGGAAAAGGTTTTCCGTCGGAGGTAGAAGCGTGGGAGCCAATCCAAAAACGAGAAGGTGCAGATATCCGACTGCGGGACAAGAGCTCAACGCTGGGACAACAATGGGGCGCAATGTCATCACCACGGGAAAGAACCAAGCATTGGTAGAGTTGAAAACAATCGTTGGAAAATCCACAACACTGCCTTCATACGGCTCGCAAAAACCATCCGACAAGAGAAGCAGATCACCGGCCGGAAGGATCCAAAGCAGTAGCGGCGCACACGAAAGGTGGGAGTGGACGTCTTGAATGAAGGAGAAAGGAAGCTCAGAAGAAAAGCGTTTTGGATGGGAGAAGAAGCAATGCCACGCAGACGAAGTTAAAGCCAGCTGCGCGCAAGTCTTTGCCAAGCAAGCAGAACGCAAGCCACACGCGTTCTGCAACGCCTGAAAGAACGAGGAAGCTCTGCAGTTGGAAGAAAGAAAAGCCAAAGACGCGTCTGCCCAGGCATCAGAACTAGAATCAGAAGCATCGTCACGAAGGAGGGCCGCTGACAGTGAAATCGCCGGAACCTCCCCAACAGTAACAGTTGGACTGTGAGGAGTACGCAGGCGCGGAGAACCGGGGTAACTGGCGCCGAGCAATGTCGAAGCGGGCGTTCGATTCGGGGAAAGCAGCCGGCTTGGCGAAGACTCAAAATGGAAATGATCGTCGCAAAATACCACTGGAGCGGAAGCAGCGGCCGAGGTGACAGAAACAGATCCAGTGGAGTCGGAGTCCATTGCGTCGCACCACAAAGGGTTGCCTGCCGCGCTGGTTGCGCCGGCTGAAAATTGGGCCACACTACCGCCATCCAGCTTAACCCACTTCATGCAGCCTAGTTTGTGGGTGTACGGCCGCGGCGCAGGATACTTGCGCACATGTTCCATGACCCACGCATAGGCTTTCTTGTAGTTCACCGACGATTGGTCAGTAATGCAATGCTTGTTTGCGTTGTCGGGTGCCCAAATGTACTGCGAAGGAGGGCCCGTGGAAACCCAAATGCCAGGTGAAGGTTGCTCACCGATGAGAAAGCATTCGGCCAGGGTGACTTCCCCCACCAATTGTTTGGAACCAGCTTGTGCGATCGCAATCCTTCCCCGCTTCGTGGTCGGCTCCCCGCGAACCTCCCACGTTTTTTCGCCTGAAAGAATGAGCTCGGCCCACTTGCGTTTGATGATCAAAGCCCGTTTGGGCATGGCCACGTCTTGGCGGTGAGCCTTGGTGGAACGCGGGTCGGTTGGTCGGCGGCTGCCGGCTTTGGATCCACTCGCCTTGCCACCGCCGGTCAATGTCAAGGGACCAATGTGCAACACATGTGGCCCGACGATACGCAGCAGAGGCTGCAGCTGCAAGGCTTCGCGACGAGCTTGAGTCAAGACTGGCTGAATAATTGTGGTGTCCCGGTCCGGGCGGGGCAAAGGTGCGGCGCCCCTTAAGCCTATGAAGCCTTTCAGCTCATTCGACTCTGTGGCCGGCCAAGGCTGCGGACAAAGCGAGACCAAGTCCCCACGGGAATCAAACAGCGCAACACTTGCAGGAGAGCATACAAAGGTGAAAGTTTGACATCGCGAAAAATCGATGGGGCGCAGCGCGTGCATTTGCATTCGCTCGACTTCTGTGCACCAGCGCGCGCCGTTGCAACGCCCATCTCGGATCTCCAGCTGAAGCCCGCGTTGGGAAAATGGGGCCTGCAGGCTGAAGAGGTGTGGCCAAGCAACTGCTGCAGGGTGAGGTCCCGTGCTCATGCCTATTGTCAAGTAGAGCTGCGACTGCCCGAGCAACACGGGCGACAACTCGATGACGGCCGTGGAAACTGAAGGGGAAATGCGCGAAGCCATCCGAACGACGTGGCGAAAGTCAACAGAGTGGAAAGTTTGCCATGTTCGATGAAGAGGAGGGAAGGAGCGCGGGTTGAAACACCCCAAAAGGAACTTCTTGTGGATCGGAAAACCTTGGGACAGCAGCGCTTCAATGCATTTGTTCAAACACAGCCTCGTGCAACAGCAAGGGGAAACAGACGCGACCAGTGCATTGTGCTGACTCGCATCGATCAGAAAGGCACAAGCGGCTCTGTGCGTTTGTAGGAACGTCACAAGATCGTTAAGAGCACACAAACACGCCAAAACTGTGTGCTGACAAGTCTGCGGCAGTCGATCCCAGAAGCCCCCGCATAGGTCCAGGCACGGCAGCACGCGAGCGAGGCCAACCCCTTGATGCAAGCGCGCCTGTGTCACCCGCACCGGCCGCCGGAAGCCGTTTGACGGAGCGGGCGCCAAATTGGACAGGGGAGCCGATGGAGAATGCAACGCCACGAAACAGTTTAACGGCGTGTTCTTTGGCAAACCGACGCAGCGCCACTGCAGCAGCACAGAACCGTCATTGCCAAACAGGCAGCAGATTTGGTCTTGCTGGCGACATGCAAAAGTTAACTTTTGTGGAGCGATGCCGGCCAACGACAGATCACATGAGTTGGCTTGGAAACTGTCATGTGTGAGGAAAGAGGCCAAGGAGCAGCACTGGCCGGAATTGATGTTGAGCTTCGCAGCAGCCACATTGCGGGCGTCGGGGGGGAAGGTGCTCAAGTGAAGCAAACCCTGCAAAGAAGAAAAGCCGGAAGCAAAAACCCCTAGAAGCAATTCCAAGTCCGGGCACTCCGCCAAACCAGCACAGCGTGCAAAAGATAAATTCAAAGCGAACACCGGCGGTGAAGGAGAAGCAGAACTCGTGAACCAGAAATTGGCGCCATGAGGCTCAGCATGGTAGTGATGCCAGGACCACAATGGATTGCGGGGCCGCGGCACGAGCGCGAAAGTCAAATGGGCAACAGGGGAGTAAGGACATGAATGGGGCACTGCCTGGACAACCGCTCGAAGACAGAGGTTCGCACAGAGG